TCCGTGGTGGACAGGTTGTCAGCTCAGACTGATGAGGAATCTGACAATCATAATAACTTGGTTCATTCCACCAAGTTGGTTGAATATGCTTTAGTCACACCTAATGCTATTGCTATTTTATAGAGTTGCTGATCTATGTTAAAATTGTATATTCCATGCCATATTCATTTGTAAGATGTTTAGCTTTAATCATCATGGTCATCATTGTGCTAGGGTCGGATGGTTTCATGTCAGCCAATGGCTAGTACTTTGTTAAGGTGGCAGGCTTAACTGATTTCTCTTTCATTGTAGTCAATCTGGTAAAGTATCCTCCATACTTGGGGATTTGATAGCTCAATATTCTTTTTAGTTGTACTGCCAATATCACCAATGTATGGGTTAAAGGACATGTTTGCTCCAAAATTGTTTAAAATTATCTGTATCAATCTAGATACAACAGCAGAAGCAGTATAGTCCCAAGCAATATTTGTAGAGGTAAATAATTGTTGATAACTAAGTTGGTGATTCAGTAATCTCTTAGAGGGGAAAGATCACAATTGTTATTTTTCACACCTCTATGAAAATGGAATGTTAGTGTAGTCACATTTTCGTTTGGATGACATTTTTTGACAAATTAGGTTAAAAAGCATCATATTTTGTATCACATGATGACTTTATAAATTGAGGTACATTGAATATAATTGCATGTGCTTCTATCAAAATATGTACTATAGGTATTATCTTTTAACAAAGTTTTTTTTATTGTAATACTATGTAATCAATCTCAAACTAGATATCAGCAACTCGCACAGATATTAAGACATACATACATTAGAGATATATAAGAAGTTTCACAGATTTAAGCATATGAGTGACCATTAAGGGGTTTCAAAGGTATAAATCATCAAGACAATACTATTTGAAATCTAATATAGTATCATGTAACACTACTTTGAAAAGATCTTTAAGTAATACAGAATTCCTGCTCTATGCAGCCATTTTGAATCTTAAGGCATGAATTAGGAAAAACAATACTATAACAGTGACCTACTCTCACATTCCTTCAAATTGAATATAAAATACGCATACTTTAAAGATCACAAAATTATTGCGAAATCCTACACTAGGCGGCCATTTTGAATTTCAGGAGGCCCGAATCAGAAAAATGATACAATATTTGCAATCTACTCTTAATTCCCTTTCATTTGAGTATAATAAAGCTATACTTCAGAAAGATCTCAAAATTCCTGTTTTCCCGACCCCTCCCCCCATTCACGGCCCCTGGGGGTCAGGCTGAAAACACGCAATGTATTTTAAATTAAACCTTTGTTCTCTCTATCTCTCCAAATCACATATTTCTCAGTGGTCTAATAATTTTTAATGACTGTTAACATGTTATAACTTTCAAAGTGCCACGCCCCCTTTGAAATTAATTACATAATTATATGGTGCGATTAAAAAAAATGCTCAACATATATGATTTTGCAGATTATTTCATTTTAAAGAATACATGTGTAGCAATAGAAAAATGCACAGAAAAAAACTTTATACCTTAAAACGACCTTTAGCCTGTCAGAGGTATTTGGCAACCGGACTAAACTGCACGTGTATGGTTATTGAGTAACTCGTCCTAGAAATGGGTTTAATTGGGGAAACAAAATATCGTACGAAAATCTATCACCGGAAGTCTGGCCATCTTGATGCAACAACACGGTGTTGTTGCATCACGATACTCCCCAGTGTGTAGAGGGCCATTCGACAATCATGGACCAGTGTCAAAATCTATTTAAGTTTGGATATTTCATCAAGACTTACATATATTTTTATTATCCTACACTTAGTGCACTAAATGTACAATAACATTAAAAAATAAATTTGATATTTATTGGCAAAATGAATAACCGGAGGATATCGTAACGATATACTCCGGGCAGAGGATATCGTGACGATATACTCCGGAAAACCCAATATGCGGAGGATATTGTGACGATATACTCCGTTTGTTGATTTCCCGCCAAATTGACTCTGTTTGGCATGAAATTAATTTTGCAATGATATTATACATTTAGTACACTCCTTGTAAGTGTAGAATAATAAGAACATCCTGTGATTTTTTTCAGAATATCATTTTAATCTACTCGGTGATATTGATATATGCACTTGTTCGCTTTGCTCTCTCGTGCAGATATCAATATCACCTCGTAGATAAAAATGATATTCCTCAAAATCATAGGATATCCTATAATTATCTACAAAGAAACCCCTTAGATAAACATTATTTCAGCTGATATTCCTCTTGAAACATGGTGGATCTTAAAAATATAAAGTGGATTTCCCCTTTTTGAAACTCTGAACTGAATTTACACTTCTAATCTTAATGCTGAAATTGATAGTTTATCCATACATATTAAGAAAATAGGTATGTCAAAGAAGATGTTAAGCCAAATGTTGCCTTGATAGCTCAGAAAAAGTTAAAATGTTCCTATTGTCTCTCTACAGGCCTTGTTGCCCCTTTAATTCCAATAATACAGAAGTTACTAAACAAAGGTGTTGGATTTGTCGTCTTTTAGATAATAATTTATATTGTTAGTACCTCAGTTGAAATACTCGATTTTGATTGGTCAACGAGCGGTGAATAATTTTAACTGTACACCGCGCAATGCATTGCCGGTGAATAATATTCCCAGCATTCCACTAAAATGACGTCATTATCAGACGATAAAATGGCCGCCGCTAGCACTAGCCGTTTCAAAAATGTTGAAGATGAGGACATTATTAGTCTCATATCGAGGAAAGACAAGTATTGGACTTTCTATTGCACTATACTGACTTGAATTAATGGATTTCTTTATCACAATGTTTTACTTTCCAGGGCCGCGCACAGAATACTGGTATATACTATATAATATATATGAAAATATCAGTATACCAGTATTCTGTGATTCTGTGATACCAGTATTCTGCTATTTCAAATAGCATGCGCATGTACATCCACCACATAGGCTTATATATTTTCGATATGCTTAGATTATATTAGACATTCAAACGAAGGTGTCGGAAATAAGATAATACGGTTTCTTGTTGGCCATACAACAGTGGGGCCTGCATTGTATAGTTATAGAGTGTAAACTATCTTCCTCAAGGTCGATGCAAGGATCTCATCCAATGAACCACAAATGATATAAGATGCTACCGCTACCCCATCGTCCAATTACAACGGTACCTTTTGAGAGATCATTTGTTCACAGTAGATATAGTTTAAGTATGTACTATAGGAATATGCTGTAGCTTTGAAAAAATATCACTTATATCCATGAGTGGATATTGATATCGTCGCGAGTGAGCGCAGCGAATGAGTGAAGATACTGATATCCATGAGTGGATATAAGTGATATTTTTGAAAAACCATAGGATTGTCCGTTTATCCAATGGGGAATTATTATCCAGCGAACATCGAATAGTCAGATAGATTTCAACAAGATTTATTTCAACATTAATACATGTACGCCTTCCAATGGAAGTTCCATTGCATAATTCAACGAATGTCATGAACGTGACGTAACAGTGTGGTTTGTATTTAATGGAAACGCCGAAAAAACTAGATCCAAGAAATAAATAAAAGTATAAAGAAACGTCTTGCTGAATTATTAAAAATAATTGAAAAAATCAAAACCATCGAATATCACTTTTGAAACCATCGAATATTAAAACCATCGAATATCACCTTTCAAAAGGTGATATTCAATGGTTTCAAAAGTGATATTCGATGGTTTGGGAATTGTTTGCGAAAATATGATATCTTCATCCACGTATCAATTATATCTTCACGTGATATTCGATCTATATCCTTGTAACCATGGGATAAATAGAGATTATCCTATATGAGGTTCAGGATATTGGGATTATCCCGAGGCCAATATAATATATCTGCCCGAGGGCCGTAGGTCCCGAGGGTAGATGTATTATATTGGCCAAGGGATAATCCCAATATCCTGAACCGACTATAGGATGATCTGTTTATCCCATACCAATCACATTGTTCAATTGGCCAAAGTTCAGAAACTTTGCAACCAATCGTGGAATTATTTCAAAATATTCATGTCCAGTTTTGTATTCTTGTTTCTTTTCCTGCTCAAATCGTTGATTATTAACGGGGTATACTGCTCCTTCCCTTCTTTAAAGCATCAAACAGGTCGAGATTGTCTGCGTTTTTCTCCATTGTCGTTTACAGTATGCGAACGTTACAAAAAAGAACCAATACGGGAACAGCGATTATGACGTAGCGGGCAGATATACTATATCTGCCCGCTCGGAGCGGGACGTAAAGCTATATCTGCCCGCTGATGAAAATATAAGTTTTTACAAACCGGCTTTATGTACCCGTAACACGTCCAAGTATGGGATAAATATTTTTATCCCATACTTGGACGTGTTACGGGTACATAAAGCCGGTTTGTAAAAACTTATATTTTCATCAGCGGGCAGATATAGCTTTACGTCCCGCTCCGAGCGGGCAGATATAGTATATCTGCCCGCTACGTCATAATCGCTGTTCCCGTATTGGTTCTTTTTTGTAACGTTCGCATACTGTAAACGACAATGGAGAAAAACGCAGACAATCTCGACCTGTTTGATGCTTTAAAGAAGGGAAGGAGCAGTATACCCCGTTAATAATCAACGATTTGAGCAGGAAAAGAAACAAGAATACAAAACTGGACATGAATATTTTGAAATAATTCCACGATTGGTTGCAAAGTTTCTGAACTTTGGCCAATTGAACAATGTGATTGGTATGGGATAAACAGATCATCCTATAGTCGGTTCAGGATATTGGGATTATCCCTTGGCCAATATAATACATCTACCCTCGGGACCTACGGCCCTCGGGCAGATATATTATATTGGCCTCGGGATAATCCCAATATCCTGAACCTCATATAGGATAATCTCTATATATTCTTATTTTTATATTTTTTATATTTTCCATCATATAAAAATTTGAGGAAATAAAGAATCCTATCCTATTCTATACATTGCCTCAAAGCAAAAATTTCAGCCAAACGGGCAGCAGTGATAGGCCAAGTCCTCTATGGTAGTGGGTTGAGCGTTGAATAGAGCGATACCATCTGACGTTAAACCATTTTGTGTTGTATCATAAAGTTTCCAAAAGAGAGTTCTCATGTATTCCGCCGACATATTTCTATGTTGCTCAATTTTCAATTGGTCATATAGATCATCATCGTGTTCTAATCCCGGAATGTGTCGGTAATCCTCGGCTGTCAAGTTAATGAACGACGCAGTTGTGTTCTTTAGAGCATTTGTCAAATTTCGGTTTTTGTTTTCCAAGCTGAATCCGACTTTCACCACTGCATAGAATTTTCTAAACATGACAAGGGATTGATTAAGCCAAAACTGTCGTTTGTTGTCATCTGTTATGTTGCTAGGCAACGTGTCGTTTCTGGGCATGGGCGTGGTTGCTGGGAGTATATACAGGATAATTGACGTGTTGTTTCCCAAATCTACTGTTCGATTTGGCAGAGAGATAATTGCCTCTGTGGTTGTTCTCGTCGTTTCAGTAGTTGTTGGATTAGGGGATAACCGTTTTGGATCTTTTGATGTTCGCATAGCAACAGTTGTGCTGACATCGTCGTCTCCACCGTGTACGGGGTGGTCTGTATGTACAGGGTGGCTTGGATGAACAGGATGGGCCGTATGGACGGGATGACCTGTTGCAATTGGCCTACGATGTGGAGGGAAAGGAACGTGACCACTTTGTGGTTTGGTACGCCTGCTTGTTACTGGAAGCGGCATTATGTCAAGGACGCTCTCTATTGCCGTGTTCATTTCTGGAAAAAGATAAACATTATCGGTAAGAGCATTTGGTAAACAACACGTCAATTTTGACACGGTTTTCGAAACGTTTTGACATCGATAAGATAAACAACGAACTCATATGATAAAACAATGATATTATTAGTAGTTCTGAATTGGTTAGTTTAAACATACTTCTAAATTTTGTCAAATTCGCCTCACCATCACGAGGCTGATACTTGAAATGGTCCCCTTGCCGCCTTTTGGCGTTTGTATCACGATCATAAACAACTTGGTGGTGTTTTTCTACATTTTTCACTGTCTGTTTAAGTGAGGAAACGGGGAGTGAATTTGTGCCCATTATCACAATCGTAAGGAAAACCACGAGTATGCCAAGATGTCCCTGACAACGGATACTCAATTTTTCTTGTAGATTCTGTAGATTCATGCTTCACGAAATTTTTTTTCTGAAAAGAAAACAGAACTACAGAAGGAAAAACTATTCATAATCAATAACAATAACAATAACATACTCTTATCTATTCGTAAGTTTCTTATTGTTTGCTCACATCATAAGCTTTTGCATTTGTCCGTCTATCTGTTCGTCCGTCCGTCCTTCTGTCTGTCTGTCAACAATAGCGAGACGTTTTAAAACCGCTGTTGATACGATTCAAGTTTTAATTCATTTTTGATTATCACTACAATGAAGCCCCTCGTGATTCCCGGTTCAAAAGCTCGCCTATAGTCGAAAATAATTAAAATGGGACGGAGGGGCAATATATCTATAAAATGAAACAACTTTACACGAATTCTTGTATTTGAAATGATATTGTTTCAATATGCTCAACAGTTTCAAGATTTAAGAGTAAAATGTACAAGTACCATATGTTCTTATATGTAATACCAGTGAGGTAAGTCAGCCTGGCTGTCAATTAACTGAAATCAGTACACCATATTATAAAATGTAGAAATGGCATAAATAAATTGACAGAGTCTAAACTAATGGAATATTTTACTTTTATTTTATATTTTACTTTTTGTAAGAATCTTTTATTTTATTCAAGGTCGCATTAAGTAATTTGTTTAAATAACTTACCAAACTTCACTCGGTCGTTATGAGTGTGACTTCAACGTTAAACTACATACCCTCTGTTATTAATTCCAAATAGGTCTTTGAATTTAAAAATCTTGAGTTTCACGCTATGAGATCTACTTTTTGTATATCTCATGATCATTTAAAAAGCACACCAAGATCAAACACTAAATATTCAACTAAATACTTCAACTTTTAACCCGTCTTATACCTCCAGCCTATTGAACTTTTTTGAATTATTTTATTAAAGATAAACCTATGTGAAATGCCGTAATACTGCTAAATCTGTAGTAGTTGTGCTGGCGTGCGACTATCGGAGACGGAGGTCGTAATTATTTGAAGAGATCTGAAGGACGTAAGATAACAATTCTGATGTCTGCTTTGTCATCAATTAGACCAAAGCAGAGATAGGGATGGTACCTAATTGTCAACAGTTGCGGATAAACAAAGAGTTGTATGTTCGATATCTTTCAATACCCTCCTTCCCCCATATAACGAAATTTAGAAATGTTGATTTGATTTTCAATTGAATTATTTCAAAAACCATACTAATGAGATCGTCGTTTAATCTAACCCCTCTCCTTTCCCGTAACGAAACAACATTTTGAGAGTACCCCTTTATATACAGTATTATCTCGACCTTTTTGAATGAAAGAGTACTATAAAATACCATAGTACCCGTTTACTAGTACCCCCCCCCCCCCATCATTCCTCAGTCTTTAAACAATTACCATATCGGACTATATTATGTCGAACTAGCTTTTGCTTATCAAATATAAAGCTGTTTGAAATGATAGATTTTCTGAAAATTAGATGATCGTGACAGGTTGGAGCTTCTTTGGTCCAATGGTATTGAAGTTGGTAGTGAAGCCCGGTCTGGGTTTTGAAGGATGGGTCCGAGTCATTATGATCTCATCAGAATTGCATACTCACTTTTCCTAGAGTTTTACTAGGGTCTGGTCCTCATGACTAGGGTGAAAATGAAGTATATTTTTCTCCTAACGTCTCCTAACGTCGGTGTCAATGAATCTTTATCGTACATCAATACGTTACCCATTAATACTAGAAAAAGATATTTCAAAATTAAAGGGTTGGATATTTGCTCCACGTTGTAATTGGACATCTTGATTCTCAAGTTTTTAGTTGCTCTAACTTCACCCAAGGGGTGTTATAACCACTTGGAATTGGATGTGAAGTCACATTTACTTTGGGTCCTGGAGGTTCAAAATATTATATTATGTAACTACTTTTTACGCACTGTGATTTTTTACAATTTCTAAGGTGAGCCGAACAAATGCTAATGACTCCGCCATCCATTCTGTATTCATTCTATATAAGGTTATTCTTCAATTTTTGTGGTCGCGATTGTATGGCCATTTTACAAAAACATGGTCAAAATACGCAAACCGTAGACAAAATCACCCAAAATGATACCCAAACTTCTATCTCTGGAGCTATTCCAAAGATATTGTAAGTCCACGCTAGAAGCACGGGCGTAGTAAGAGGGGGTCGCGGGGCTCGTGCGAATCCTCTCCCTCATCTCGAACCCCCTTTGTTATAAAACGAACCTCCGGCTGGGAGCAACCCCTATTCTGAAAGTTCAACGAAGCCTTGCTGAGAACGAAACCACTCTCAGAAAGGTGAATCGCACGTTCATTAATCACAGCTATTTATTTGATGACGTGCGTATTCCGTAATTTGATTGCTTTGTTGAAAGCGTTTCCGTCGTGTGACCCCCTCACGCTTTCGTGAAAAAGCAAACCCCCCAACTGTAGAAAAATAGAACCCCCATCGGTAAATCTTGGATTTCGAGGATTTTTTGTAAAATAGCCATGTAAAATCGTGGTCACTTAAGACCGACGAAATTTGGTAGAATGCAAGAACATTCAACAACGTTTAATTCTGCCAAATATGATTTTAATCCCATGCTGAAACACTGAGGTTGTATTCGCGAATGCAACTAACGCCCGTGTCAACATGTGTTTGGGTTACCCTGTATTACGTAACATCTTTCAATCAATGCATTATAATTAATATTATAACATACCTATGATGATGTATAGTGTAAACTGTTCACAAGACAGCGGGCCAATATAACTTTTGAAAAGCCCGCGTCCGCTAACTTTCTGATTTGTCAAGCGCTGTTACTACGTCATACATTAGGTCTAGGTCGAATTGACTCGTACATTCGTAAGATACAAACATGGGAATAAATCATCATTTCCGAACCATTGCTAATCAATTAGATAAGAAAACGGTACTCTCCGACCAGACTAGATCATCATAGGTATGTTATAAATCGTTTATGTCACTATAGTTGCACATATACCCTCGGTCCTCAGTGATCAGTGATCATATATCAATCAAACCCTCGGGCATATATGCAACGATAGTGACATAACCTCTAACTATAATACTTACATTACTAAGCAATTTCTAATTAAGCCATTATGTCCCTATCATTGAATATATGCCTGAGGTCTGACGTCAATATAGCCCGAGCTTGCGAGGGTTATATTGACGACGGACCGAAGACTTCCATACAAATGATTCGCTGGGTATGTAATACTTGTGTTTATTGCTTGAATGTAGTTAAGTTACAATAAACTATTGACCAACAAGAAAATTAGTTACGTCTATCTTCTTTATTTGTTTTTAATATATTGGTGCTTTTGAGATCTGTGTCTGGCACATTAGATGAATGGGTCTTTGAAAGAAGCCAAATCAAATTATTGAAAAGGGTTAATTTGAGGCATAGGTAGATAGGTGAATAATCTAACGAATAGGTACATCTGTTTTGGATAAACATTTTTTGACCAAAATGATTAATTTTTGACAAATGAGTATTACTGTTTTTTTAATTTGGCTTAAAACATACTTAGAATATGGAGGACATTTTGACGATGAAAGTGGCATTCAGATTGCCGTATATATATCATGAAATCATATGACACGTTTGAAACTTTTTCACCGTTTAAATATTTTATTTCTTGGGTTGTAATCATCAATTCTCTTTTTTAACTTCACAAAGTCCCAGGTCAAACAAACATAAACTGCAGTTCTTAAATACCATCAATTTATTCAAAATTACACAAATGAACAACTTAACAGCAAATATCGTGCACCCATGATAATTTTATACCTTATATAAAAAATAATATACTTGAAGAATTTTAATGTTTATTATTTAATCGTCAACTTAAGTAAAAAGTGTAACATGACTCATTCATGTATACAATAATGTATACCATGATATTATTACTTCCCGGTAAATAACACCAGAGAATATAACTGATCATGAAGAACTAGCTCCTCAGATATCGTATTACCTGTTCGTCCCCGGCGTTTTTATTTATTTTTAATTCATAATTATCTATAAATTATAAAGTTAATATAATAGTGTCACAACTTTAAGCATTCAATATCATGGTATGAAACGCTTATTATTTACTGACAGGGACTTAAATATGGGTTTTGTACCTCGGTCAATATAATACTTCATATGAATGTATGTCATATTGGCCCTCGCTATAAACCCATCCTCTATCCCTCCCAATAAATAACCTCTATCTATTGTTCTAACGCTGACTACCGTTCCACGATACCAAAGATGGCAGACCATGCAACTAACGCATGCATTATTCCAGTTATAAAGCATGTGGTTTGCAATGATACATGCAGAATGGACCTTATACACTAGGGAGATATACTGAGCACTAAAATAGTACTCATGGCATTTTAGCTCTAACTGAGTACTCATTTAATCAAGTATTAGTACTAAATGAGCACTAATGACATGAGTGTTGATTTATTGTATTTTTAGTACTAGAGTACTCATATCATGAATTTATACTAAATAAGCACTCGTGGCATGAGTGCTCGTGAGCGCGCTTTTGCCAAAGTGTTAATAGTACTAATTTTGTACAATTTTAGTACTCAGCAAATCTCCGTCCTTTTGCACTTGCTCTAATATAGGCTATATATTGTAAAATGAGACAAAATTACTATATATCCATTTCGGTTACACCTTCGAATCAACAGCTTTACCATACCTTCCAATGCAACTACATAATACTATGACCCCGTACATAACTTAAAAATTACATGTAATATGTTCTGATTTTCAATAATTAAATAAAATGAACTAAGACTATGCTCACATCTACGTTGAAAATATTGTACATATACTGCCTTCTAGCATCATGATAAACCATGACATCTGATTTCTTCTCAGCCTTAAAATCATGTTTCAGGTGAAACAGAAAGATGCTATGAGTGTCAGAATGGCCTTTGACATACTTCTACATGCCCGGGTCTACATGTTTGTGGTTATGTTTACTCTGAATGTTACCATGTGAATAACCATATCATAATCAAATTACATGCTAATATTTGCTTTCTTTTTATTGAAGTCCTACTCTTATAAATAACCTGCTTGTGGTCATCAAATCACTATTAATAGTTTACAAAATACCGAGATTGATAACCAAGCACCGTTAAACATATACGTTCATTGGGAAATTATATCATTACATGTTGGACCTGAATATTTTATCTATACTCCCGGGTCCATACTGTTAATTAATGCAATGTGAATGAATGAATCGCAATTGCAGTTTTACTAATACAATGTAATTGTATCAATCGCAATGATGTCAGAGCGAAGTATCACTGTGACTAGCATGCTATTCCTATTATATAATACTGAATCAGTAAAATGAAAACGAAATACAGTGATAATGTTCCTCAATGGACCAAACTGTTTATGAATATGGCACCAGTCCATCCGATTCAATATTTGAGCCTGTCTATTGGCAGCGTGTGAGTCCATGTGCGACTTCCTTAATGTCCCATTGGCGTAGTGAGCTTCTTTGGTATCGTTACCCGAACCTTAAATTTGGTTGAAGGTATAACCGGGCTTGATCAATTCCTCTGTGTATTGCCTTATGGTGACGCATGCTTGATAGAAGATCGGCTAGACTTGACATGGTCAATGAGTTTGTGAATCGGCGTTTAGTGACCATCTGTCTTCCATTTCTTTTAAATATTCTAGGATTTCCTTTACCAGCTAAACCAAAGCAAAATAAAGCAAACTAAGTAAAGCAAGCAAAATAAGCGAAAGAAACAAAGCAAAATAAATGCATTATAAGATATGGCATTTGGTGGCAAAATCGACTACATGCATTCTGGGGTGATCATAAAACCATTCATTGACATGCTGGAAAGATGGCGCTGCGCTGACATGCCGAGCTCTAGATCTCTATAACAAACAAAAATATAGAATATGATTGGATAAGCTGAGAGGAATGGCATATCTTGATTAATAGGGAACAAAAAGCTCAACAGATCTAAGCGATCTTACATTAGGAAAAGCGAAGATTGCCCAATTTAAGGTTTCCAGCCAATCGTCTGGAGCGAATTTCAGAGAGAAGATCTGCTAACTCAGCAAGATTCATTTTCTTTGTCCCTTCCCGCTTATCCTTTGGAAGCGTCTGGCCCTTGTTGTCTGGATAGAGAAAGAATAGCGTTGAAAGATTTTGCAAAGTACTACTATATCTATATATCTAACAAGAAACTACTGTCCATAGAGAGATTTTTAATCTGAAGCAGCTTACTTTCATCTTCATCTGAAATCAAGTATCTACTATAATTCACTATAAGCTTTGCTGACAATACTCATTCTACATAAAGTCACATCTCATAGAGCCTACGAACAATAAGAATTAAGTATGAAGTAATGCGAAACAAATTAGAAATAAAGAAATAGAAAATTGTGGATAGAGGGAGCAAGTAGTTTTATCGTCTGCTGAATCGTAAGCTAGTCATGTAGTTTTGGCCATCTATCTGCCGTTGTTTTCTTAAGTTGGATAGTAAATCAGCGAGCTGTGTTACAGTCATGTCCATACGCTTTTCTGGTTTTGAGGAAACTGAAGCGAAATATAACACGTAATATTAGATGAAAGTGACCAAAGCTTCGTAACAACTACGAGATACATTAGTAAATTTACAGTACATCGGAGATACGTATTTGAGAACGTATTACAATACAAGGAATTAACACATTTATAAGATGCCAATCGGCGACTCATTTCTCTACAATTAATATAATGGTTCTATATATATTATATAGAATAAGACTAAAATAAATCAAGAAGGCTTTCACATATACATATTAATACGTTTGTTGTATTTGTTTCACCATAAGTGCAAAAACTGAAATTGCAAGTTCTGACAAAAGGTACTATATGCAAAGGCAGTGTCTTGTAACTGAAGGTGGGGCTGTGTATTGCTACTAGAAGAATAATGTTTAATTTATAAAGGTCAATATCTTTATAATAAGCATATTCAAATTAAGGAATAAATAATGATAGGCCATTCAATATGGTGAAATTCAGCACGAGTTGGACAGAATGTTGTACAAAGCACGAACCGAAGGTGAGTGCATTTGTACTAACATTCTGTCCAACGAGTGCTGAATTTCACCATATTGAATGGCCTATCATTATTTATTCCGATTCAAACATAAAAATTAGTAATAGCCGTGTCTGTGGAACGGGCATGAAGGAAGAATATGCATGCTGTCAAGATTCTGAAGTCGGTCGGAAAAATTTTAGAATTTGTATGGGCTGTTCTATTTTACTCCCCATTTTAGATTTTATACGGTGTATGCGACTGCAAACTTGAAGTCAGCCATAGTTAAATAGTTACAGTAGTTACGGAGGGAGTAAAAAAGAACAGCTATCCCCGGACAGAGCCCCAGATGTGCAGCTGTGACGTCACTCAAAACAATGCAAATTGCAGATTGAATAGAGCATGGTCGTGCATCTATGGAGAATTAGAGAACGTTCTATATTGGCTATGCTGCATTCTGATTGGTTGAGAAATTCGAATAGAGCACGGTCATGTTTGAATGATTTTTTCATGATACGCTTATGACAGGTCAAGGTTTATTATCTGCTAATTTTTTACACCCGTTCAACAGGATTATGCAATACATGGGGTTCGCTAATATACAAAGTATACAAAAAGGACATTTAAATCTACAATACATAAAATTATGAACGTTTTTGGCGACATTGATAACGTAGAAATATGCTGATAAATTTGGTTCGCCAAACCGAAAGTCGTCCTTTGTTATTACATAAAAGATTAGGTTTTTAGGTTTAGATTAGGTTTAGATACAGGGTGGACCAAAAAGATGTTTTTTATTTAGTTTAACTTTTATATTTTTGTTCTCTGTACACAAATAAGATACTATTGATTTGAAATTCCACATATTCAGCCAGCAATATGCAATTTTTCTGACATATGCCATAGGTCAACTTAAATGCGGGCTTAAATGACTCTTACTTATTTTGTTTGCTGCACTTAGTCCACTGTTGCTAAGGTATGGATAGTGCTTCTCAAGGTAGTACATCAGACCAATAGGTGCGCTTTCTGAAGACAGGTCGCGGAATCTCAGTTTGTTCAGTAGAATATCACCCAACGCTGAAAGTAAATGTTGACATTTGTGTTTTGTCTTCGCTTTGAACCATGGGCAAGGTCAGTAATGTGTTTACTTGTCTCTTACATTTGACGCAAATATGTTTTGTTGTTTCAGAATATTTTAATTTGAATGTTATATCCGTTAAATATTTTAATATACTTTACTTTATGATGCATGTGAAGTAAATCATTGTGTGATAAGCGTTTTAAAATTATCAAATATTTGTTTAACGAAAATGAAGAGAGCAGTAGTTAAAGTAGCGAAAACTGAACCTGATTTGAATGGCTTGTGTTAGGTTTGAAGCAAATAATCTGTTACAAAAAGTGTGCTTTCATTAAGGACACAAAGAGCACATGCTAATTGCAGCAGACAGACACTTCGAACAAAAGCCTTAAAGGGTTGTTAAGTATCGAATATGAATTTGCATGTTTTATTCCTGATATACAATAGAGTAAATTAGTTAAAAATTTAGATTTCACATAATCACGATGTTGATATACTGTGTGTAAAAGCAGATGTCAGCTCTTATATACGAACAAAATTAAAATATGCAAATTTCTATATCATATGCAACCCTTTCTCAGAGTCATGCTGCAATAACTCCACGTATACTACAATATCACAATTTAGTTTCAGCATAACTTACTAGGAATTCCTATATTGTCTTTTAAGTCTAAATATTACATTAATCAGTCATTATTAATGTGATCCAAAGTACCGAATGGTTTTGTTACAATCTAAGTCAATACAAGACAAATTTTTAGGAAGCGTGGGCAAATTTACGATAATTGATATTTCTTAAACTCCATGAATTCTGCTATTCTACCCCATCCTGCGCCATGTATATTGATATCAAAGACATTATATGTGTGCTATCGTAATGTCAACACAACTGTTTACCATGACCATGCGATATATATTGAAAATATTGCTTATTATTTCTTAAAAACAGCTTTAATGGTGGCTATTGAAATTCAAACAACAACAAATTATGCATCAAGGCCGTCAATAATTTCTAACTGGTTAATAAAATATATTTCTGGCCAGCTCTCAAAAAGGGTTGTTCAATATTTCATACTCACTGAGAAATAACACGTTTAATAATGTCCATATGCTTTGTATCCTCCAACACATACTCAACATATTCAATTTACTAACAAATTAGATATAACTAGATTTGTGAAATTGAACAAGTTCAATTTAAGACTCCAGATTTATTTTACCTAGATAGATCAGTAAAGAGCTGAGTAAGTAACTGAGTAATTAGCTGAGTAAGTACCTTAGTAGTAGTTGAGTAAGTAGCTGAGTAAGTAACTGGGTAAAAAGCTGAGTAGGTAGCTGAGTAAGTAGCTGAGTAAGTACCTGAGTTAGTAGCTGAGTGAGTAGCTAAGTAAGTAATAACTAATTAAGCAATTGAGTAAGTAGTCAAATAAGTAGCTGAGTAGGTAGGGAGGTAAAGTAGGGTATGTAGGAATTTTTGAAAGTTTATTTGATCAATCTGCATCGTGAATACTGGCAACTGCGAATTTCAAACTTCAAAATGGCTTAACTGGGGGTAGGATTGCAATTTTAATTTCAGATCCGGATTCCTTAGGAAATTATGCCCCTAATTCATAACTGATACGTTAAATTTGGAGAACTTTTTATTTTGACCTACATTTCGATCACCAGATCTCAAAAGTGGGCCTAAAAACTTCTTGACGGCAAAAAGTTAACATTATAAGCACACTCTTTGCTACATGTATACAAAATTTCGAAGAATATCATTGAAGTGTAGTGTCCGAATTGCAAAAATAAGAAAAAACTAAGAATTTGACCTAGATTTTGAACTAGGTATTTTGGTGTCCAAATTTTGAAGGAAAGTAGCTTTTGAGGTCCCCTTCTTTTATGGGCTTTCATTATGTTTAGCTGTACTCATTCTATATCTTGTATTTTTACACTTCAAAAAATTATTCGGTCCCATTGATTTAACATGGGGCACCAAATTTAGCGATTTTTGAGCTTTCAAAACATCATAACTTCTGAACAAGATGTCGAATCGAAATTTGGTTTGCAGATTCGGATTCCTGATAAAATTCTACCCCTAATTCATAACTCTTACGATAAATTTAGAATTTTTTTATTTTGACCTACTTTTTGGACACGCCATAACTTCCGAACCGGGAGTCGGATCGAAATATGGTTTGCAGATTCCGATTCCTGACAAAATTCTACCCCTGATTCATAACTCATAAGTTAAATTTGAAGATTTTTTTATTTTGACCTACTTTTGGGACACCATATCTCAAAAGTGGGTCAAAATACTTCCTGACGGCAAAAGGTTAACACTATTAGCACACTCTTGGCTACATGTATACACGATTTCGAAGAATATAATTAAAGTGTAGTGTCAGAATCGCAAAAATAAGGAAAAACTTTGAATTTGACCTAGATTTTGACCTTGGCATTTTTGTGTCCAAATTTTTAAGCTAGATGGCTTTTGAGGTCCCCTTCTTTTAAAAGCTTCCATTATATTTAGCTGAACTCAGTCTATATTTCGTATTTTTCACTTCAAAAAAATCTTTTTTCCCATTGACTTAACATGGGCACCAAATTTAGCGATTTTTGAGCTTTCAAAACGATATAACTTCCGAACCGGAAGTCGGATCGAAATTTGGTTTTCAGATTCGGAATCCTGAGAAAATTTCCTACAAGACCAGTAGCGTGGACATTGAATTGGGAGAACTTTTTTTTGGACCTCGTTTTCGGACACTGATATCTCGAAATCGGTTTGAGATATCAAAAAACTAAATCGACCTGTTTTCCCCTACTTTTTTATGAGGAACACAATGAAAAAAACCCGGATTGAAAATATTGAAGGACGACCGAGAAAATTGAAAAAAGTGACAAAGTACTGGATTTGACCTAGTTCTTGACCTTTGACCTAGATAAAAATTTGACCTAATTTCCCAGAAAGCCAGATACATTCCCTAGTTGATCATGTAAGCAGCTTAAAGTAAGCTCTTCTAGTTGGTGAGAAATCTGGGAAGGAGGAAGAAGAATAATAATAACTAGATTGGTAAATTGAACAAAGTTCAATTTAAGACTCCAGATTGATTTACTTGAGTAAAGAGCTGAGTAAGTAACTGAGTAAGTAACTGAGTAGGAAGCTGAGTAAGTAGATGATTAAGTAATTGAGTAAGTAGCTGAGTAGGTAGCTGAGTAAGTAGCTGAGTAGGTAGCTGAGTAAGTAGCTGAGTAGGTAGCTGAGTAGGTAGCTAAGTAGGTAGCCGAGTAGGTAAGTAGGTAGGTAAGTAGGAATTTTTGACCGGAAGTCGGATTGAAATTTGGTTTGCAGATTTGGATTCCTGAGGAAATTCTACCCTTAATTCATAACTCATAAGTTAAATTATGAGAACTTTTTATTTTGACCTACTTTACGGACACCATATCTCAAAAGTGGGTCAAAATACTTTCTGACGGCAAAAGGCTCTCACTATTAGCACACGCTTTGCTACCTGTATACAAAATGTTGAAGCAAATCCTAAAAGTGTAGTGCCAGAATCGCAAAAATAAGGAAAAACTATGAATTTGACCTAGATTTTGACCTAGGCATTTTGGTGTCCAAATATTGAAACTAGGTAGCTTTTGAGGTCCCCTTCTTTAATAGGAATTCATTATCTTAAGCTGTACTCAATCTATATCTCGTATTTTACACTTCAAAAAAATCGTTTTTCCTTGACTTTCTATCAGGATACCATCAGATCGATTTTCCGAAATTTCAAAACGCCATAATTTCCGAACCGGAAGTCGGATCGAAATTTGATTTAAAGATTCGGATTCCTGACAAAATGCTACCCCTAATTCATAACTCATACGTTAAATTTGGCGAATTTTTATTTTGACCTACTTTTTGGACACGCCATAACTTTGGAACCGGAAGTCGGATCGAAATTTGGTTTGCAGATTCGGATTCCTGAGAAAATTCTACTCTTAATTCATAACTCATATGTTAAATTTGGAGAATTTTTTATTTTCACCTACTTTTCGGACACCATATCTCAAAAGTGGGTCAAAATACTCTCTGACGGCAAAAGACTTACACTATAAGCACACTCTTTGCTACCTGTATACAAAATTTTGAAGCAAATCCTAAAAGTGTAGTGCCAGAATCGCAAAAATAAGGAAAAACTATGAATTTGACCTAGATTTTGACCTAGGCATTTTGGTGTCCAAATATTGAAACTAGGTAGCTTTTGAGGTCCCCTTCTTTTATAGGAATTCATTATCTTAAGCTGTACTCAATCTATATCTCGTATTTTACACTTCAAAAAAATCTTTTTTCCTTGACTTTCTATCAGGATAACATCAGATCGATTTTTCTCGAAATTTCAAAACGCCATAACTTTCAAACCGGAAGTCAGATCGAAATTTGATTTAAAGATTCGGATTCCTGACAAAATTCTACCCCTTATTCATAACTCATACGTTAAATTTGGCGAATTTTTGTTTTGACCTACTTTTCGGACACGCCATAACTTTGGAACCGGAAGTCGGATCGAAATTTGGTTTGCAGATTCGGATTCCTGAGAAAATTCTCCTCTTAATTCATAACTCATATGTAAAATTTGGAGAATTTTTTATTTTGACCTACTTTTCGGACACCATATCTCAAAAGTGGGTCAAAATACTTTCTGACGGCAAAAGGCTTACGCTATTAGCACACTCTTGGCTACATGTATACAAATTTTCGAAGAATATAATTAATCTGTAGTGTCAGAATCGCAAAAATAAGGAAAAACTTTGAATTTGACCTAGATTTTGACCTAGGCATTTTGGTGTCCAAATTTTTATGAAAAGAAGGTCTTGTGCTCCCTTTCTTTTATGGGCTTCCATTATGTTTAGCTGTGCTTAGTCTATATCTCGTATTTTACACTTCAAAAACATATTTTTTCCCATTGAATTAACATGGGGCACCAAATTTAGCGATTTTTGAATTTTCAAAACGCCATAACTTCTGAACCGGAAGTCTGATCGAAAATTGGTTTTCAGATTCAAAATCCAGAGAAAATTTCCTATAAGACTGATATCCTGGACATTGGATTCGGTGAAATTCTTATTGGACCTCGTTTTCGGACACTGATATCTCGAAATCGGTTTGAGATACCAAAAAACTAAATCGACCCTAGGTTTTCTACTTTTTTATGAGGAACACAATGAAAAAAACCAGGATCAAAAATATTGAAGGACGACCGAGATAATGGGAAAAAGTGACAAAGTACTGGATTTGACCTAGTTCTTGACCTTTGACCTAGATAAAAATTTGACCTAATTTCCCATCATCCCAGATACATTCCCTAGTTAATCATGTAAGCAGCTTAAAGTAAGCTCTTCTAGTTGGCGAGAAATCTGGGAAGGAGGAAGAGGAAGAAAGAATAATAACTAGATTTGTGAAATTGAACAAGTTCAATTTAAGACTCCAGATTTATTTGACCTAGATAGATCAGTAAAGAGCTGAGTAAGTAACTGAGTAATTAGCTGAGTAAGTACCTAAGTAGTAGTTGAGTAAGTAGCTGAGTAAGTAACTGAGTAAAAAGCTGAGTAGGTAGCTGAGTAAGTAGCTAAGGAAGTAATAACTAATCAAGTAATTTTGAGTTAGTAGTCAAATAAGTAGCTGAGTAGGTAGAGAGGTAAAGTAGGGTATGCAGATATTTTTGAAAGTATATTTGATCAATCTGCATCATGAATACTGGCAAGTGCGAATTTCAAACTTCAAAATGGCGTAGAATCTAAACCGGGGGTCGGATTGCAATTTTAATTTCAGATCCAGATTCCTGAGGAAATTCTACCCCTAATTCATAACTCATACTTTAAAATTGGAGAACTTTTTATTTTGACCTACATTTCGGACACCATATCTCAAAAGTGGGTCAAAAAACTTATTGACGGCAAAATGTTAACATTATTAGCACACTCTTTGCTAGAAGTTTACAAAATTTCGGAGAATATCATTGAAGTGTAGTGTCAGAATCGCAAAATAAAAAAAACTATGAATTTGACCTAGATTTTGAACTAGGTATTTTGGTGTCCAAACTTTGAAGGAAAGTAGCTTTTGAGGTCCCCTTCTTCTATGGGCTTTCATTATGTTTAGCTGTACTCATTCTATATCTCGTATTTTTATACTTCAAAAAATTATTCGGTCCCATTGATTTAACATGGGGCACCAAATTTAGCGATTTTTGAGATTTCAAAACGCCATAACTTCAGAACAAGTAGTCGGATCGAAAATTGGTTTGCAGATCTAGATTTCTGAGAAAATTCTACCCTTAATTCATAACTCATACGTTAAATTTGGAAAACTTTTAACTTTGGCCTACTTTTCGGACACCATATCTCAAAAGTGGGTCAAAATACTTTCTGACGGCAAAACGCTAACACTTTTAGCATACTCTTTGCTACCTGTATACAAAATTTTAAAGCAAATCATTTAAATATAGTGTCAGAATCGCAAAAATAAGGGAAAACTATAAATTTGACCTAGATTTTGACCTAGGCATTTTGGTGTCCAAATTTTGGAGCTAAGTAGCCTTCGAGGTCCCCTTCTTTAATAGGCTTTCATTATATTAAGCTGTACTCAGTCTATATCTCGTATTTTACACTTCAAAAAAATCTTTTTTCCCATTGACATAACATGGGGCAGCAAATTTAGCGATTTTTGAGCTTTCAAAACACCATAACTTCCGAACAGGAGGTCGAATCAAAATTTGATTTGCAGATTCGGATTCCTGATAAAATTCTACCCCTTATTCATAACTCATACGTTACATTTGAAGATTTTTTTATTTTGACCTACTTTTGGGACACCATATCTCAAAAGTGGGTCAAAATACTTTTTGACGGCAAAAGGCTAACACTATTAGCACACTCTTGGCTACATGTATACACAATTTCGAAGAATATAATTAAAGTGTAGTGTCAGAATCGCAAAAATAAGGAAAAGCTTTGAATTTGACCTAGATTTTGACCTAGGCATTTTGTTGTCCAAATTTTCAAAATTAGAAGGTTTTGAGGTCCCCTTCTTTTATGGGCTTCCATTATGTTTAGCTGTACTAAGTCTATATCTCGTATTTTTCACTTCAAAAAAATCTTTTTTCCCATTGCCATAACATGGGGCACCAAATTTAGCGATTTTTGAGCTATCAAAACGACATAAATTCCAAACCAAAAGCCGGATTGAAATTTGGTTTGCAGATTTGGATTCCTGAGAAAATTCTACCCTTAATTCATAACTCATACGTTAAATTTGGAGAACTTTTTAGTTTGACCTACTTTTCGGACACCATATCTCAAAAGTGGGTCAAAATACTTCCTGACGGCAAAAGGATAACACTATTAGCACACTCTTGGCTACATGTACACAAATTTTCGAAGAATATAATTAATCTGTAGTGTCAGAATCGCAAAAATAAGGAAAAACTTTGAATTTGACCTAGATTTTGACCTAGGCATTTTGGTGTCCAAATTTTTATGAAAAGAAGGTCTTGTGGTCCCTTTCTTTTATGGGCTTCCATTATGTTTAGCTGTGCTTAGTCTATATCTCGTATTTTACACTTCAAAAAAATATTTTTTCCCATTGAATTAACATGGGGCACCAAATTTAGCGATTTTTGAATTTTCAAAACGCTATAACTTCTGAACCGGAAGTCAGATCGAAATTTGGTTTTCAGATTCGGAATCCTGAGAAAATTTCCCATAATACTGATATCCTGGACATTGGATTCGGTGAAATTTTTTTTGGACCTCGTTTTCGGACACTGATATCTCGAAATCGGTTTGAGATACCAAAAAACTAAATCGACCCTAGGTTTTTTACTTTTTTATGAGGAACACAATGAAAAAAACCAGGATCAAAAATATTGAAGGACGACCGAGATAATGGGAAAAAGTGACAAAGTACTGGATTTGACCTAGTTCTTGACCTTTGACCTAGATAAAAATTTGACCTAATTTCCCATCATCCCAGATACATTCCCTAGTTAATCATGTAAGCAGCTTAAAGTAAATTCTTTTAGTTGGTGAGAAATCTGGGAAGGAGGAAGATTCTGAAAGAATAATAATAAAGAAAACTGACGAAAGCAATAGACTCCAGATTTTCATCTGGAGTCTAATAAAAAGAAAACTGGCAAAAGCAATAGACTCCAGATTTTCATCTGGAGTCTAATAATAATAATAATAAAGAAAACTGGCAAAAGCAATAGACTCCAGATTTTCATCTGGAGTCTAATTAGATAATAATAATTTAAATACTACATTGGATTAGTCTCAATTCTAAAAATAATTGTTTGAAATCATTTATGTGCATTCATGAAATCTTAATGTTTGGAGGATACAAAATACTGGAAAGCAAAACCTAAATCCACCACAGAAAATAACAATATTTTGTCTGATGTTTTCATTGTCTGTCATTTAAGAAGTAACCCTTAAAGGCCCCATGTAAAGTTTAAACCACTTTGGCTTATATTGTAGTCTTACCCAATGTTATCAAAGTGTGATATATGAAACTTTTTTTTTAAATTTCAAGAAGTGGTTTTTGATAGACTTTTTGTTCCAAAATTTGTGAATTTATTTAAAACCAACTTTTAGAAGTCACTCATATCTTCTAATTAGCCACAATTCATACCAATGCATTGGATTCATCCTCCCATGTTTTTTGCCGAAAAAATTAAGAAAATAGGTTGATAAATAAGCGAGAAATGAACTTATCAGTGCATGAAAATGGTTCTGAGAAAAATGCATTTCAAAATTATAGTTCTCATAGAAACCAATGGTACAATGATATCTAAAACATAATTTATTCTTCCTTTTAACCTGGTTAGACAATCAACATTGGTTTTTATGAAAGTCTAGCATATTTAGAAAAGATTGACATCGAAAAAAAAATTTCAATTTTTTTCGAAAAGTTTTTGTTACCTTAGTGACATCACTAATGTTTCAAAATATTTTTGATATGCTAAAACATTGAAGTGGCCCATTAAATATGGCGTTTTATTATGGAAATAGTGTGTCCTTTGTTCAATCTTTGCATTGGTGTTAAAAAGATAATCTTTTTTGAAATGCATTAAGAAATATTTGATGATTAATAAATTTCAACTTTTTTTGAAAAATGGCGGGAAATTTGAATATTTGAGAAATGAAATGCTTTTTTTTCAAAAATTTTTTTTTGTTCAAAAATCTCTCAAATCACTTTTTAAGTCCTGACAAATAGTAAATGAATGATAAAAAAATATTTTCAAACTTTAGACGGGGACTTTAAGCGCACTTTCTGGCGAAAGCTTGAATAAATGATGCTTCAGCAATGTTAATTTAACCAGTGTGTTGGAGGATACAAAGTATTAGACAAATGGTTTTTGCATAGAAAAAGTATTTAATTGCTTGGGTAACACACATCTAACATCGCCCTCTTAAGAGCAACTGATTTTGAAAATATCAATTATCGTAAATTTGCCCGCGTACGGTAACTGTTGTTTTTGACTTGTTTCGTGAGCCACACCGACCAGTAGTTTTAATTTTTGTTCTCATCGTTTGGTTTTATTCTGTTGTGTTAGTGTTAACAATGTTCTCTATATGCTCCTTGCGCTTTTTTGATAACACAATATGCTAATTATCGTCTTTTGAGCGCAGTAATGACAAGAGTAAGATGACTTTTAACGTTACTTACCATTTGAAGGAGCATCTCTTTCTGAATGAACCAGGCCAGTGTCGTCCATCTGTTGGTCGCTTAATGGAAGAGCGTGAGCTAGTGATACCCAAAGGGTCATCGCAACTATCAAATGTCTTAACTGTTGCACCAAAGTTGCCATTTTTCTGAAATTCAAAATGGTTTGAGTTGTTTCAATTTTGTATTTTCACACAATAGCAAGATGAGTCTTCTTAGAATTCGTTTGTAGCCCTTGGCATCGCTATCTGTGGTTAGACGCTTCTTTACTTCGTATATGTTCTATAATAATGTTATTTGTTTAGCATTGAATATTTATATCATAAGAACATGTGTTAATGAAATTAGACGTCATGATACTAAGGTAAACGTAGGTAGACACAGGCTTCCCATTGGTTGACATCAGCAATATATATTATTAGCCTGTCACGCCAGGTACATGTATGTATAATTTCATATTGAATTTCTATGCATGATATACATCAAATCTAAAATCACGAAGTTATCCGCCTTAATGCATGGGTTGGGTTGTCTTTATAAATCCAATATGGCCATTGAACTCTCTTTAAAACTTAAATGTGTTTATTGTAACACACAAAACGAGAGAGAGATGTACGATGATGAAAGATGTAAGAGAAAGATGTAATTGAAATGGCATTAAATTGTACAAAGGTTTATATAAAATATAAAAATGGCAATGCCAGGCATATGTGATGTGACTGATGTAATGCAAGTCTGAACGATAAAATTTTCGATTTTCATTTTTCGTCAAACGTTCATCGCTGTCGTCAATTTAAGACATAATGTTATTGATAATTTGAAATTAAGAAAATTGGCATTTCGAGCCCATAAGTACATGTATGTAATCTTACATCGCAGGTTTTAGTAAAACTTCAGAGAAGGGATTACCACGTAGCTTTTATAATATAAAATGGTGTATTCAAATTTAAACATTCTCTGACAATTGATACACTTGCAATAAAAAAAACAAAAAAACATTTCTATGTTCGTTAGAATCAATATCATGGTGGGTGTTGAATGGAAGACTGTGGTGATGATCTCTTGTATTGAAGTCATATCCATGCGTCTTAATCCCTCAATCCAATACGGTTCACGATACTTCAGCCGGATCAACACCAATAATAAATGAGATAAATAAGAATTGTTTGATTGAATTATGATATAAATTGTGGATTAGTGTAATCTCCGCAGTGAGACCTGAAAAGTGTCATTATGGCTAATGATCCACTGGGCACAATCTAATTGACAATTTCACTCTATAAACTATATTATCGGGGATAAATTCTATATTAACAATCACCATCACGATTACCAAGTTGTAATTATATGCATATTACTGGATAACAATGGCATGCAGTATGATCTCCGAAAGAATGTGTTCGTAGAAGAATACGAACTCGTTGATTGTGTCGAGCGGCAATCTATTTAAAGCCTATTGTAGGCTATTTCGTCATATATCAGAGAATCAGTTACTTTTAGAATACGAAATTTCCATTCCAGTTTTCCCGTCCTCACTGTCACATTTCTTATATAAATGATCTCCTACTATGTACATTATAACGCTTGATTAGAGCCCGTAATATCGGAACTACACCCACTGTGTAAGTGTAAAATGACTGAGCACCACATAATATAAAAATTAGTTTATATTTTTTCCTTTAGTTTTCAAAAACATGATAAGGTTAAAATGCAGACGTTTGTTAAAGCCCAACTGCTAAGTGCTACTAAAGAAGTCGGTCTCTCCCCCCTATCTATTCTGACTTGACCCAAGTTTCCGAGTTTACTTTTTATAATATAAAACGTATATAAACGTTTCAGTTATATTTTATTCGAAGGGATGGTTCCTTTTAGTCTGACTTTCACTTACTGTTAACTAAATGCTTTCTGTATTTAGTTATGTTCGGATACAATGTGTCATTTTGGTTGGACACGGCCACATGCTACCGGTAAACATAGGTCACATTAAGAGGTCACGGTCATTTATTGGTCAATCTAATTTAGAGGTCAATATAATTGAAAAGATGATTAAAGGAACACTTAGGTTATCGCAACAATTTCAGACGACGATTCTTACTTAATGACTTAATGACATTGATGCCCAAATCCAGTGGTTATTTCGGAAATTTTATTTTTAGTGACCTCACTCATTCAATACATATTGAAATATGAAGAATCAATACTCCAACATGGGTACTGGAACTTGTACTCATACAAGATGAAGCGTTAATCTCTATTGATGTGAAATGGACTAAATCCACAAGAGCGTCAAAGGGTCAAGCTCCTTTTTTAAAAGCTGCATTAGTTCATACAACCTAGGATGAAAAAGAGACACAACACATTAATTTAACAACTTGGATTGTAGTGCTATCGATAGATACAGTATCATCCCGGCTTTCTAAATAAGCTAATGGCTAGAATGAAATAAAGGTATGGAGACAGAGTGAGTTTGACGACTGCTTCCTCTGGTTCTCACTTGGGTGCATTGATTGTTTGATGTACGAGATAATTGAAGAACTAGATGCGTTCCATCACATCTCAAGCTTTCTCAAGATGAGAATCAAGCTACAAATCACGACCTCTAGGATGCAACAAGGATGTGGTTACCAAAGAAACGAAATGAAATAAATATTTTTTCTGGCCGTTTTGTTCATGATTTGAAAAACATCGACATGTACGCAGATCGAATGACACGTTTTGTAAAACGCTGTAACAACCGTTCGCCATGAATAATTATTGTCAAAGGCATTCATTGACGTTAAAAGAAAAAACTTGAACTAATGACTGTGACAATTTAACGAGACAAACCAATTAACATAATGATAATGGTATTTAGCAACTCTTCATTATCAGTATTTTGTTTTCAACCAAGTTAACGATCAAGTTGTGCATATTCAATTCCGCACATTTTAAGTTGCTGCTTATTGTCTTTAAACTGGTATTATTCGACAATCCCATATACAGCAGCATCTCAGCATTGAATACTCTTGTACTCGTTTTTCTCAAACACCATTTCTTGGAATGCAACGTGTCTGTTTCCGAATTTGTAGGAGTTAATTCCGATGTCTGTTTATACATCCACATGTCCAGTTGTGTGATCAAAAGATCATGAGCGAGATGAGAACATATTGAATAGGCATAAACCCGGGGGCATAAATTGGTTTAATGAAATCCTGGTATAGTGCTCCAATAATTATCATGAATATAATTCATGAACTAAGAATCAACTTTCAATATCAAAGATATATACAAAAATTGTATAATCGATTATATCATGTATCAATCCGTACCGTTATTAAATCATACAAAATAGTACATAGTATAAAGAATGAAAATTGATATTTGGTATTTTCTGCCCTGTATGTAGGTTTGTATGGCATTCTAGACATGACAGACTTTCATAGGTTAAAATAACCAGGTCGACAAACCATCCAATCCACTTACTCCTTTGGGTAACATTTACGTTCACTAAATTGTTTGATACAAATTATATCACTTCAACTTTGTCTTGTTGATAGGTACGAACATTGAGTAGATTGAATCTGTTCCCTTGTACAGAGTGTCCCGAAAGTATGCCCCCCCCCCTAGGCAGACATATTCCAGTGCCATCATAGTATGTGTCATATATCATTTTAAAGCTTATTCAAAGTTACATTGATTTGCCAAGTATCATGGTTTAACTCTCAAATGGGAAAAAGTTACAGTCATTTTAAAAGTTAGTGTTTTGTCAAAATAAAGTTGAATTTTACACCACATTACTAGTCAATGAGTCCCCCTTGGCCATGTTAACAGCAGCAATTATTTTCAGATATGACCTTAAAAGCCCTTAAAATAGGGGTGTGGAATTTTATAACCCTCTTAAAACCTGTTAAGGCACTTTAGAAGAGTTTCCTTAGAGTTTCTACCCTCATCGTTCTCTTTTTCCAACTCAATATCTATCCGACCCGAAAAGAATTGCTGCTGTTAAGATGGCTCGGGAGGACACATTAACTATTGATTTGGTGTAAAATTGAACTTAATTTTGACCAAACACTAAATTTTGAAATGCCTGTAATTTTTTCACATTTGAGAGTTGAACCATGATACTTGGCGAATCAATGTAACCTTGGATAAGCTTTAAAATAATATATGACACATACTCTGAAGACACTGGTATATGACTGCCTAGGGGGGGGGGCATACTTTCGGGACACCCTGTATTATGGCCAATACTATGAGGGTATAGAAAACGCAAACTTAATTTAGCTCGTCGAATTAAAGTCATTTTTGAACAACCAATCGTTCCGACTTCTTATTGAGCTTAGTTCAAAATACGCTATTAAACAATGATAACTTTCGGTATTAAACAAAATAATACATTCACTACTAGTATTTCAATATTCAATATTTTTGCAAATAAAATCGGAAGCTTCAAATTGAATTCAACTAAATGAATACTAAATATGAAAATTGATAGAAAAGCTCAATTAACATATAACCTTTATCTTCCGCACCAAATATTTAGAGGGGGCTCATATCTGATAAACATATCAGATTTTTTATAAAATCACACAGAAATTGCCTGGCTTCAAAGGTGCAAAAATAATTTGGATGGATAGTAAAAGAACAGTTTCAAAATATATAGGTCTGGGAAAGGTTTAATGGATACCACGTCGCCATAGAATGAATTACAATACTACTTTTATTTTCACAATTATTGATATTTGGTGTCATAAGTATAAATGAAGTTCCAGAACGGTTAAGAAACAGAAATATCCCAAAGGAGTGGTATCGATATGGAGAACTGAATTCAACAATGTTTTTCTCTTAAATCAATCATTGAAAACATTCTGTAAAAACACGGTATTTTATGTAATGTTGACTGATTGACAACAATTTAATGCGAAAATTATTTAGAATTTTTTTTATATAAATCCTTCTTAAATCCTTGTAAATAATAGCATGCTCTGACATATGAGCATACTAATTTTGCTCATCTAACATACCTATAACTTGTAGTATTTTTCGTATATTTATTTTTGTAACATATGTATGTATATGTACTCATCTTTAAGATGGTAAATAAAATAACATAACATAACTGTTTTTGTTAACATTTTTTGTTTTTCCGAATCTTGTTTTGTCTTGAGCAAAATAGCATATATACAACATGTTTTTAGACCTCTCAATATTATAGTTATAGAAAGGAAAAGTATTCAAAAGATTAAAACAAAACCCTCCCAAAATAGATAAAAATCAGATAAACCTTTTATTTTATTAAGAAGATACTGTTTTAAAATCAACCAAAATTTCCTTTGTACAATTACAATATTGAGAGACCTAAAACATGTTGTGTCTATCTCGTTTTGTTTCAATGAGGTCCGGAAAGATGTTTCATTTCACTCTGGAAACATGATGCCAAGAACAAAACAAGTGTTTGATTTGTTTTCTAAAACAATATAGATGAAAGTATATATATATTTTTTTCAAATTATATTGTTACCATTCAAAAGATGACCATTAAATTGACGATGTGTTAAATTTTTAGATTTTTTATGACTGGTTTAAGAGAAACGTGTGTTCAAAAAGTTTTCTATATCGATACCACTCCTTTATATTTAAATTCAAAAATGACCGTTGACTCCGCATCCTCCGCTCATTCATGCCGCACCCAATATTTCCCACAGGGTCCGTCTGCAGAGGGTGTATTAGTTCGTTTCACTAGCATCTGAGCATAGGTCATTGTTGGTCAAGTCGAATGAAGTTAGCGTTAATGGGTGTCACTTGTATTTAACGAGTAAGCTTGAATGTATTAATACGAGACCTTCTCTACCCTGAGGTCGAATGAATGAAAAAGTTAGGTCTACTGAGAATTTTCAAAATGAATAAATGATCTCAAAGTAGATGATTTGAGGTTGATTTTTTGAGTTTTGATAAAAGAAAGGATGTGTAATTTTACTACCTTTTGGATTATTTTGACAATTTTAGTTGAAAAAACATCTGATAAAATATTTTATATACTAGTATGTGAAATTTTGGCGAGACTTCCTTAGTTATAGCTACACCAGTACCGATGAATGAGTAGCGAATGCGTGCCTTGACATCGCATACTGTTGTTTATTAGAAAATATTTATTGTATATTTTATTAAGTAATTATTTGTTTGCTTTTTTATATTCCATTATCAGTATATCCAGGGACCTAACCAGGATCTAAAATTAGGTGGGGCAAATAAGGAATATTACTATACAAGTATACTTTTATATGTGGACTTAATTTTCAAAATTCTAATTCAAGTCTGAAAATATATTTTTGTCAAATTTTGCCGAGGCGACTACCTCGACTGCTTCATGCCTAGCGACGCCCATGTCTAACATCAATACATCAAAACATCATACCAAGCATGTGAGAGAAACTATATTGTCAATAGCACGACTCGAATTTCATTTCTGTCATTTGAAATCAACATAAAATGTTGGAGCACATTTGAAATAGAAATAAATGTGAGCTCGCCACTATAGTGGAAAACAAAGTTCCAATTTTCCACATGGTACACGCAAGTGCCATATGCATATTGGTTTCAACTTCCTCATGGTTAACACCAACTGAGTCCATTGATAAAAACTGGATCATAATCAACAATAAAACTTGGGAAAACCTCATCAAGACAAAAACTGGAATAGTTATGGAGTTACACGTAGCATGTTAATTGCATTTTGACAAAATACTTCGCAATGATGGATGTTTGAGGTGTTCACCGGTGTCCTTCGTTACGAAGCGTTTTGTAAAAATGCTTACTGATTTTTTACAAACTGGAATATGAAATTGTTATTTTCAAAATTCATATTTGAAATCACTGTAAAAATAAGAATTAGGATGTTCATCCAAACTGCAAATTGGCGTGGATACCAAGTTTCAAATGGTTTCGTACTATTTTTGCTGTGACGGTCACTGGATTAACACCAAGATATAATAGAGGCCAGTACCAACGTATTTATCCGGTAGAGATTAAAAGGTGGATTGGATCGAGTGGATTGGATTCATGTAAAAGGTGGATTGGATTGGGAATCTTCAAAATGTGGAATTTCTTATATAAAATTTTCTGTTGATCTCCCTCTAAACAATTTCCCTCTACAGTATTACAGGTCCCTTTTGAGAAATCAGACAAAGCAATGACAAATACATACTCCAATTAGTTCATGGACACTCTTAAGTATTTAACCGCTTTCCCTTGTAAATCAACGTTTGTAAGACATAGATCTTTAGAAAAAGAAAACCCGTCATTCAAATTGATGTGTGAATGTTCACAAAACATTTCTGGTATGTTCAGTTTGGATTGAAAACAGATGATATGGATCTTCAAACCAGTCTGCCTTATGATTTATGAAATGTCTCAAATTACACTTGGAATGAATAAGATCGTGTATCAGAAAGCGGGTACCAGGTCATCCTTCTAGCCCACCCAAGCAAGATAGTATTACATCTATTATTTGACATTGTGCAAGTGAAGAGAGCACCAATCTTCCTAAAGGGAGATCAATAGAATTTTTTAAGGGAAAATCCATATTTTGAAGATAGCCAATCCAATCCACCTTTTACATGAATCCAATCCACTCGATCCAATCCACCTTTTAATCTTTACCTATTCATCCCTATAAAGAACTTTCAAATTAAAAAAATTTGTGATCATAATCCATGGATTATATCATCTTTAACTTCGTGGTTTTGATCCAAATATGTGAAAATATACTAAGTAAAAATTTGAAAAAACAAACGCTTTTAATACTCAATAATCAACTCTCTCCAAAGATTATCTACCACATGCTGAGGTTTAATAATCGATGTGAGGCAAATATTCTATATAGAAATTATTACTAATGCAAAAGATGAAAAACATGTTTACATCCTCTCCTTAATTCAAATCATTATATGTGAAAAGTAAATTAAAAACATTATATATAATATTAATATAGTGTTTGCTAGGCCAACCCGCCTGCGCGCGTATGGTATTCTATTATACTCAACGTATTGCTCATTCAGCAAATATCCAAAATTATGAATATGAATTAAAAAATGTGTTGATATTAAAGTTTTTATGCAGTGCAATCGAAAATAAGCAAGTTTAATGTCGAATCGAATCACATAGTTTCCTTCTATTCCGTGGAACATTTTTTCACCATCAAAGAATGAAAATCATTATTTGAAACAACAAGAATTAAGTAACAGTAGTAAATAGCAAGAATCTTACCTTGACGAGATGGTTCTTTGACGGCTGTCCCGAGGTCTTGTGTTGATTGAAGTATGGAGCGGGTTGCCTCGTGGACACTTTACCTTATATACAAGTAGTAGTGAGCAATTGATTGGGTATAATTTGATCCAAGTCTTCCCACCTCTCACCGCCAATAAGAAGGTACAAACTCAATTAATTAATTCGAGAAGATAATAAAATGTTGTGAACCGTACGCATCATTTCCTAGTCTTATTTTCATTGTAATAGACTAGGTGCGAGTAGAAATAATCTTGATTTACGTCATTAAAAATTAAAAAATCAGTCAAACTGAGTCCTATTTGGAATCTACATGTAAAATTACATCTAGAAATGTGGTTTTGAAAAGACTTTATCAACTTTGAAAATTAAATTTTGAAAATATGACTTCTAGGTCGGGGAGTTTCCCAATAGACCCCATGTTGTAAAATCACAAAAAGTGAAATATCTTTTTTTGTGTTGGGCAGATTACATTTTCCTTTACTGAACATATTTTAATTTGTATAACTATCAGATACATAAGGGTTATATGAAAAGTGAACCACTAAAACTGATGAATATTCAAGTTTAAGGGAATTTTGTAATACCCTGACATGTTATTTCCCCCGAATCAGCCACCTGATGGCGAAACTGGTAACTACCTACTCGCATCTGAGTAATTAAGTTATTTTCTATATATAGGAGCCTGCGGTCGAAATATATTGACACTTCTCTTCAAATATATTTTATTGATTCGTTTTTATTTAAAAGGACTGATTTCATAATTAATGATTATATTACCAAAATATAACGGTAAATGATCAGATTAGGAGTATTCTTAAAAAATTGTTGTTCAAAACGAAAAACTCGTATCCATGCAGGAAGTTCATCCATTTTGGAACAGTGGAACTTTTGACCGTGAAATACAATGAAGTGCCATGGCTGATCAAAATATGCAATGAAATGCAGAGATCTTTCTTGCAATGCAATCAAATACAATGATAGTCCATGTTCAAACATTGTGCCAGTATTTTTGATATGAAAATATTTTTGTCAATAAAGTTAATTGGATAACAAAAATTGTAAGAACTCGAAATACCATGAGCGAGCTCAATTTTGATAACAATCACAAAATGTAAAATCAGGATGGACAAATTGAAATGTTGTGAAAATAATAAATGTGCCAGTTGTTGTTTGTGGCTCACACAGTGAGCCTATGGGGTCGACCAGGCGTCCATCCGTTGGTCCGTCCGTCCGTCTGTCCGTCCGTCAAATTTTCTGTAAATACTAGATACTTCGTTGAAGTAGAACTTTCAAATAACTTGTAGTAGTTGCTGTATATGCAACTTATGTTCTCTGAAGATTTCAAAGCTCTTGAAATTACAGTTTTTGGTGTTTACTCTTTAAATTTGACAAAAAGTAGGACTGTCATTTTCAGGGAACTTTCTCATGTGTAAAGTCAATCATCATTGGCTGCACAAAACACTATATGAGCACAGGACTTTATTTTACTCTAACTCTATGAGTATTAACATATAGCGTTATTTGCAACCATATTTCAGTGCCTTAGGTCCGGAAGATCACATTCACTTTTGTTGTTTCTTTTGTTTGTTCGTAGTGTAATAGCAAATGCACCACGTTGAATATACCAGAATACACAAAAATTATTTAATTTGATGAAGAATGTTTAATGTAAAAAAGTAAAAAGTAAATGATATTCAAGAAACCATCGAACCATTTAGACCACTGTATAAGTTGCATTGTTTATAGTGTCAGGGGCATTGCCATCCCACCTGTTAAATACAGTTACCTTAGCTTACTGTCTCATTTCTCTTGATCCTTGAATTAGCAAAACAATGGATTTTGTCATGTAAAAGTCTGGGTGCTATCTAAATGTATGCACGTTGTTTTTACCTTGCAGCCTAACTAGGCGACTTCGCTTTAGAATCATAGTAATTCACATTCGAGGTGTCAATTGCAAAGTATATAAAAACTATTGTTATTAAAATTTAGTATTGCCTCCCAAGCCTATGGAAAAATACACGATCGGATACCTCTTTTGATGCTGCTTTGGAATGCTAATGTATGAATAATATTCAATTCATTTGTATAAAAGAGTAAATATAAAACCAAGAGCATAATTATTTTGGCCCAGTGGCTCACTAAATCCACTCACAGTCCGAATGCAGGCGACTACTTTGTAAGTAACTGTTATTTTTTGTTTACATTGTGTTTTTCCTTGTGTTTTTCTTTTTAAAAGTGGGAATTTATCATTGTCAATTGTTCAAAATTAAGGTGTTCTTATCTTTAATGGCTCACCCTGTAAATATACCGTATATGTTTTCAGCAAAGCGCTGATATTTGGAATATTGGCCATATGGTCCACAGAAGCAGCTATTCAAACTAAGAATGCTGATTGTGAGTAGCCAACAAAATATTCTAAGCATGATTTACAATGGAACTACGAAGTCAGTTTAACCAGGTATCGGTCATGTATGGCATAATATCGATATATCATTTTGGTATATTTCACATTTTATGAAAATATACATTCCGGGTTGATCCCATATATACATGACTTTAATCTTCTTATGTTAGTCCTTGTTACCTGTACGAATAACCTTTATTCGTTGGAAGAGGTTCTTCTGGAGAATGTCTACGCGTCTATTATATTGCGTTTTTTAATCTAGTCACTGTTGATTGTGGAGCGGATGAGTCTGCTAAGACATTCACTCTAATTTGGAAGAACTCAGAATCTAACATGGTCACTCACGTCTATCCTTTCGGACCAAGGGGGTCTGAATGTGAATTTGTTCGAGATGGGACCGTAACACCCCCTGAATGGAAATTGGTAACAACCCCTGGAACACTTGTAGACTTCATGACTGATGCAACCTGTAATTTAGCGGAGGTAATCTTTAATTTTATTGTTTTTTGTTTGTTTGAATTTGAATTTTAGAAATGAAAAGCTGGTAACTTTTTTCTTCAAAATTCCCCAAATCGTTTAAATAATTTTTTAAAATCATTAAAATAGTAAATAAATGATAAAAACATATTTCAAACTTCACATGGGGCTTAAAGAAAAAAGCTCGTTTTAGTAAAACAAATCCATGTTTTGAATTGCAATCAGTACCATGGGATAGAAACGCGTCCAGTATTTTCGTCTGGTGCAACTGGAAATACTGGACGCAGACCTCCATTTTAGATCCAAAGAGAGGTATGTGTAATTTTACTCGGTAGCCTGTGATCGTTTTACAGAGTGTTCTTACCTAAAAACAGGCTCATCAGATTCCCAGTACATTGGGGAACATCCAATTCTTATAAAATGACAGCTATACATCTAGTTTTTCTGTAATGTGGGGTTAAGCACAGAAATATTGAAATATTTTGATTTTTTCTGGAAATACACGAATCGAGTTATATTTATTTTTATTTACCATTTCATTGACAAGATATGCAATTTTCTTGTGTATGAACTAACAATACAGAGCCTCCAATCTGCAAATTTTAGCTTAAAAGTAATCGATAAAAGAAAAATGACGAAATTACTGAACGAAATAAAAAATGTACTGGACGCAAGCCTGTTAATACTGGCTGGCTTGCGTCCAGTACATTTTCATTTCGTCCGGTATTTCTTTAATGTCATTTTTCTTTAAAGGGGCAACAAGGCCTGTAGGGAGAAAATAGGAAAATCAAAAAAAATTCTGAGCTATCAAGGCAACATTTGGCTTAACATCTTCTTTGACATACCTATTTTCTTAAAATGTATGGATAAACTATCAATTTCAGCCTTAAGAAGTGTAAATTCAGTTCAAAGCTTGAAAAAGGGGAAATCCACTTTTATATTTTTAAGATCCACCATGTTTCAAGAGGAATATCAGCTGAAATAATGTTTATCTAGGGGGTTTCTTTGTAGATAATAAAAATAGATGTTAGTCTTGATGAAATATCCAAACTTAAATATATTTTGGCACTGGTCCATGATCGTTGAATGGCCCCTCTGCACTAATTGTTGCACCTTTAATGTCATTTTTCTTTTTTCAATCATCTCAAAGCTAAATTTTGCCGACTGGAAGCTGTATTCTTATTCCAAACACAAGAAAATTAAATTGCTTATCCTGTCAATGAAATGGTAAATAAAAAGAAATCTGCCTCGATCCTTGTATTTCCTGGGAAAAAATCAAAGTATTTCAATTCCGTGCTTAACCCCTAGATGAATGGCCGTCATTTTATAAGAATTGTGTATTCCTCAATATACTGGGAGTCTGATGAGCCTGTTTATAGATAAGGAAACGCTGTGACACAGCACAGGCTACCGAGTAAAATCACGTCTAACTCTCTCTGGATCAAAAAAGGAGGTCTATCAGTATCTCGGTTTGTACACGACGAAAATACTGGACGCGTTTCTACCCCCTGAGTACTGCATCGATCAAGATGGGGGTAATATAGAACATGTCATCTTAAGTGTCAGAAATTTCTAGGAATTTTCAATTCCTAATTACAGAATGAATCTTCTTTATCATTGAAAAATATCACTTTTTTCTATGAATCAACAGGAAGATATTCCAGTCTCATTTGGGTAAAACTTTTTGGGACACCCTGAATTTGCTTTTGGTTAAATATCCTCGTACAAATACACAATGCTAACAATTATTGTCCAGTTAATGGACTACAGGGTGTTTCATATGTATGCACCCCCTATAAACTCATACTAGTATTGCCAACCTATCATGATGTATATCATTTTGTTCCTTGTGAAAAGTTACATAAGATTTCCACAGGAACAAAATGATAATATAACACGATAGGTTGGCAATACTACATGTATGCGTTTATTGGGGGGGGGGTATATACATATGAAACACCCTGTATGCATTAAATTTGCTCTTGCGCTACTGAAATTCATCACTACTCGATCAGGAGTTTGGAGGCACTGGGTCAGGGAAATGGCGTCTGACGATCGTGATACAGGAGGGCAACACGCTGCAGATGTCAGATGCGATGTGGGAGGTACAGTGTGTATACAAAGCACCGGATGGCACGTTGCTTGGGCCAAACCCAATGATTCAAGTGCAGAACATAAAGTAAGTTTGCAGAAATGGAATTTCTCAAAATGAAAAAGAGTGACAAGTTTTGTTGACAAATGCCTATATAGCTTGAGTATTTTATCTGTTATCAAAATATTTGTAATTATTTACTATATCTAATGAGTATCTTTGGAGGGACTTAGGATGACATTTTTACTCCTGATATATTAATCATTGGTGGAAATATTTGTTTAGTAAAAAGCGGGATGGCGTGGCAGATATTGTAAAAGCAACTAATGTCATAGATAGGGCATATAGCCTCGATATCATCAGGCCAGATGGAGAGGTATTCGCTAGTGGAGTGGACCCTCTTCCATTACCTCTGGGGACAGTCATAAAACTTAAGATAACAGGGACGGGACCGGACACTAGCAACAATGGTAATCAGAATTGTTTTATATTTGAAAAAGTGAAAATTATATTGTTCGGATAAATGAGAATATTGCTACTTTCACCATGGACGTATACGTATATTATCCGTCCATGGTTTTACCTTGTGGATGGACGTCTTTTATAATCATGACCGGGGTACCACTCTACAGCAAGACGTCACAATCTCACTATATTTTATTGTTATTAGATGAACAGGGTGTACGTGTGAAGAGTTGTTGGATTGAAGGAAGTGACGCAGACGGCAACGATTTGAAATATTATTTCCTGGATAACTAGTGAGTACACCGGGGTTTCCACGCTTTCATTGAAATAACTAAGTGTTTCACTTCATCATTTATAATGCAAATGTATTTGATTTTACTTCCCTCGAGCTCCTACACATTCTCAATCAATTATTTCATGAGATGGAAGTCTTCAAATATGTGACTTCTTGTACCCACGCATTCTATTAATTTTGAACTCCAAGATTAATCAAATATTAAAAAAATAAAGATTAGGAAGTAAGAATATTGAGCTGAGCTATGCTTGTGGTTTCGTATTATTTAAGCTGCCCGGCTGGTCCAGACCAAATACTGCGAGATAGATCAATTGGATTCAAAAGTTTCAAGTCATCTTCTGGAGATCCTATCTATGCAACATCCCCATCTTTTAATCTGTTCAGTCTCCCTTCGGATGTGGACAATGAATTGCAATTCAACTGTATCATCGAGCTCTGCCATTATGCATGCGCCAACCCTGATGATCCCGTTACAATCGATGGCAAGGAATACACAGCAGATGGGGTAATTACATTCTGATTTATAGATCTTGGCTTCCAGTACTAATGCTTGTAAAACCTATATTTGGTGGAGCTGCCAAGTATTATACACCCGTTGTTTACGCCTGTGTAGACGTTAGTTACATACACTCCCCTCCATAAGTTTGGCAACCTTTTTTCCCCATTGAACTACGTGTAAAAGCCTCTTTACGTTTGAATTTTTATTTACTTAACAGGCGATGAAATAACTTATAATATTGATGGAAAAGTAACTTGACTTTATTTCCAATACCTCCAAATTTTCTCAATTTTTTTCCTCAATTACAATAGGTCGCGATCGACAATTGATGATGAATTTGATGAATTTTTGAAAATCGTCATTCCCATATAATCCAATGGGAAATGGAGGGTTTGGGGCAAATCAGAAATCAGGATATCTTTTCAGTAAAAGATTCACCAAAAATATTTTTATATAGAAAATTGAATTGTCTTACTTTTTTAACACTAAGTGTTTAGTTTATTTGATGAATATTAAAGTTACAGCGCTTCAAATAATTTTTCGCCTCCTGTGTTATTTCAATGGGAGAGGTTTTTTGAAAAACAATTTTGACTTTAAAGCCCTATAACTTTGTTGAACCTGAAGAAACATGTCAATTTTTTGTTAAATAAAGTTAGCAAATTCAATTGCCTGCCTAACTCGTATTTTTTGCAAGGACTCGGATGGATGGATATTCTGTCATATGACTTGCAGCAAACCTACCATTTCCCATTGGTTAACATGTGAATGTCGATTTTCAAAAATTCATCAAATTCATCATCAATTTTCGACCTATTGTAATTGAGGAAAAAAATTGAGAAAATTTGGAGGTATTGGAATTAAAGTCAAATTACGTTTCCATCAATAGCTTAAGTATTTTCATCGCAGGTTAAGTAAATAAAAATTCAACGGTAAAGAGGCTTTAAGACGTAGTTCAATGGGGGAAAAAAGGTTGCCAAACTTATGGAAGGTAGTGTATACCTTTGCAGACCGGCGTTAAAACTATGTCTAGCGGTTCGGGTTTGTAGAAAAAATCGGGTACCGGGTAGTAAATCCTCCATGCTAAAATTGGTACCAAGTACCCGGTCGAAAAAATCGGATACCCAAAATAATGATAGAAAACGTGTAAGATTTGTTTTGAATTTACAAAATGTATGTAACTTCCTTCAAAATAAGCGTCAAATAAAAAGCATTCTATTAAGGCTCTTTTCTTCCTCTATCATCATGGTCATATTTTCATTGTTTATGGGGGGGGGGGGAGGGGGGCGATCACACCATCGCACCCCATCCTGGCTACGCCTATGACATTGTAAGACGTAACAATTTACACTTCAGTGTAATAATCAAAATCTTACACGTTGCATCATGTAAATATTAACGCACGTCACCTCTCTGCTAAAGTAACGATAGCTATTTACAGATTTAAATCATATATGGTGCGCTCACACCCGCCCCCCCCAAAAACCAATGAAAATATGACCATGATGATAGGAAAGAAAAGAGCCTTTAAACGCTTTTTATTTGACGCTTCTAGCTCAATTTTGAAGGAAGTTACATACATCTTTGTAAATTCAAAACAAATCCCACACATTTTCTAATGATATATGTTATATATTCGTATTTTTTGTTTTTTGGGTACCCGTTTTTTTCGACCAGGTACCGGGTACCAATTTTGAACCCAGCATGGAGGATTTACTACCCGGTACCCGGTTTTTTATACAAACCCCTAGCAGTTCTGTCTAGCAGGAGTCTTTTTAGTCTGCATGCGTAGGAAGACGACGTGGGGTGCACCGATGGGGTAATTACATTCGATTAAACTCATCCAGATTTCATTAACACATGGCATATATCATCCTTCTAAGCAGGTGTCCAGAATCCATACATCCTTCGTAAAAAGAAAGAAGTATTCTGGATTTTGAAGCCCTGTGATGATGGCATCTAGAATACTTCCTACTTTTCTTCAAATGTCAGAATGCCGTTTTGAATTAGACAATTTTTGTGATGTCTAGAAAGGTATCAAATAGGAAACGTATGCAGTTGTGGTGAAAGTGGGGTTTGAATATACCATTAGAAAGAGGAATGTCTCGGAAATATGTTAATGTCCCACAAAGTTGTCGTATATCCAGTATCAGCTTTTTATTTCTCAAATAATCAAATATCAGGCTGTTACACATTGTTACTCATTTTCGCTTTTTGACACGGTTAGGAGCATCATAAAACACGAATGATTTGACATTTTAGCTAAAGAGAACATAATGTGTATGACTTTCGTTCTCCACTTTTCTACATACAGCAGAAAACACTCACGTTTGCAAACAAAATCAACTACTGTATTTATTAATAAACTAGAGTTCATGAGCAAAATAAGCATATAAAATTTATTAAAAATTGTTCTCGTATATTGTGTTGAATGTAAACCTGAAAAGTTGAAGCTAACAGAAAATGAGCAAATAAAACTCGAAATATTTTAATCAATTCTTTATAATTATGCAAATAGATGGAGATTTGAAATCCATCCAGGGAAATGTGCAGCAGTTCACTTTACTAGAAGTAGTTTTAAAGATGTACAACCTTTTGATTTCGGATCCGCTAAGATTCCGATAAACAAAGACCTTGTTCATCTTGTGTTACCAGTTACACAGCGGGATATAGCCTATCACTTAGACAATGTAACATCTAGGGCAAGGCGCAATTTCTATGCCACTGTAGACTGTCACCCCCGAAAAGTGTAGCGTAAATCCCTTACCTGCTTCTAATTTATATTGGACTGTTTCAATTCCTACCATGCTATATGGTGTCGAGGTATTAAATTATAATGTATCAAATATTAAAACTTTAGAAAAGGTGCATGCCAATTCGGCCAAGTCAATTCAATCTCTTCCAAAGAACACAACTGATTGTGCCGCGATTGCTCAACTTGGTTGGACAGGTATAAGCGAAACTATTGCAATCAGGAAGCTCATGTATTTCTGGCACATCTTTAATACTAGTGTTGGTATTTGTAAGAAGTTAAGTATCTTTAGATGGTATGCTATACTATATAGCTTCTTCGTAGATAAATGTGCTGTAACAGTTTCATCACCAATTAGGGAAATTATACAACTTGGAATGCAATATGATCTTATAGGAAGAATGGATAGCTATATTTCTAATAACACATTTCCATCCAAGTGGCACTGGAAAAAGATAGTGAAAAGTTCTGTTCTTACAAAGTCTCTGCAAAGATGGCGTTTTCAATGTATGACATATAATAAAATCAAACATTATAGAGAAGTAGTAACTACTCGTACTCCAATAGTCTGGTACCAGCTTTGTAAATACAAACCTGAAATGATATTCAAATGTAAACTTATGGTGAGACCACTGGTTGGTGAAGGTGTTGGTCGTCATACCGAGCCAAATGTGAATAGGGTATGCCCAATGTGTAATTCGCATGAATCATTGTTACATTTTATTAAGTTTTGTGATGTGCTGGAAACAACTAGAAATCCTATACGACCTTACTTAGGCGGAAGTGACCTAAATGTAATTGAAAATATTTTTGCCCCAAATGAATATGATGATTGTATTATAATAGCCAGGACAGTGTATCATATGTACCAACTGAGAACTAGATTTCTCAATTCTCTAAACGTCCTGCACTAAACAACTACTGTATATTTTGTTATATTTTTGTATGTTTTTTCTTCATAACCTTTTATAACCTTTTATGTTAAACTATATGTACGTATATGATCAGAATTGGTCGCAATAAAGAAATATATATATATACCAGAAACATTATTTTTAACACCATCGCAAAGATTGAACAAGGAACACACTACTGCAATATTAAACGACATATGATAGCTTATGTGCCAATGCTAGCTATGTTAGCTAATATTGTGTTTAGCATATCAAAAAAGGTTTGCATCTCAAGTGACATAATCGTGATGTCACTCAGGTGTTCTGTGTCAATCTTTTCTTTTATGCTAAACTTCAAAAATAAATCAATGTTGTTTTTTCTAAATCTATTACGTTTTAAATATTACTATACCATTGTATACGTACAGTGATCGCCTATTATTACAAGTGCGTTGAGTTGCACAAAAATCGAATGGAAAGCAGAAAGTTAACATCTAACAATTTCAAGCTTGTATACAATATTGATATAGAAACGTTAAATGCTAAACAATAGATATAGAAATACTGTCAAAATAATTATTCATGTCATTTTTCCTGTTTTTCTGAATTCACTAAAATTAAGCAGATAAAAAGAAAAATGTTTAAATATTTCGAAAAGACCATTTACGAAAATGACGTTGAAGTCAAATTATTTGCCCTGTCTTTCATTACTTCTAAGCCGAATACATACCAATGGGGAACTTGTATGTATAACCAAACTCATAAAGGGCGTGTCTTTTTATTTTGTTTTCAGTTGAGTGTTTCGTGCATTTTTCAGGTAGATAATTGTGAATTTACACGGAGACGACGTCGTGCAGTGAATGAGACGCTGAAGGTTGATGGAAACGAGAGTGAAGTAATTGTTCGTAAACCAGTGTTTGTCCTACCGCCCAAAGGAGCCCCAGGAATAGTAGGTGTGTAGTATTTACCAGTAAGAGTCAAAGAACTGTTATGTTTTTTCGATGGACTCGTGTATTTTGAGTAAACAGTCTGGGATAATTGTTCATCTAATTTTTGTAACCACGGATATAATAACATATCATAGTTATAAAGCAATGAACTTAAGGTAGGAAGAATTCTCGATGTTATGAAGGTTTCTGTTGATGATCCCCAGACAACAAAGTCGTTCGCCTACACAAATTGGATTTATTGATTTACTACTTTTTGTTATATCATATACATTTTAACAATAATATTGACATAGCTATTTTTGAATTAACACATTCAGTGTTTGTTTCACATTCAGTTCGACGGCAGACGGATGCGAAATTTTTCAACTTTGCTCTAAAAGTTTAAGTAGTGCGTTTATGTATGTATTCTAGGTGATGCTCCTCACAATTCTAACACAAGAATCTCACAATCAAATGGCGTTGGAATCCAGTCGTGTGTTCAAAGTAGGGCGTTCTTGGTCACAGTCTGCGTTCTTGGACTTCTTCTGGTCCTGTCTCTAATAGTGGCCACATTTATGTGCCACAAGGCAATTCAGGCAAAGAGTAAGGGGTTGCAGAGACGCGATGGAGGACTAGACAATTCAAACTTTTCTTATAAGTAGAAAAAGATACCCTGTAGGAGAATATATTCTGTTTCGCCTCTACATCCTGCTTCCGGATTTGCCTTCAAAACCAACAAGATTTTATTGACAGTACTGATTGGTGATCTTACGCATATCCCCCCCCCATTTAGACCCAGAGGCTAGCATAAGGGGACGTCGAAGGAACGAGGTCGGAGTAGTTTAAAATATTGAATGCAACCGTTTCAAATAGCGGGTCTCGATGTTTCCATAATGCAATCCTTATAATATGTCTGAAAACAGAATTGAAATATCTGATCAGTAATTATTGAATATTTTAAGATGCCCTTTGCATTCGTTCGACTTCACTTCTTTAAATATACCTTTGTCTTCAGTACTTTACTACTAGACTCTCCGCGCAGAGTAATTTTAAGATGCAAAAATGTCCAAATTCATGAGATTTGAAAAGAGGGGCGTCTGGTGTTTTGAAACTATTATAAGATATCCTTATACAAATATCAGTCAGCACTGATGGACTATTTTTTTTTTAGAAAATAGGCATATCATGGTAAAGTATATATTGTGACAGTGTTTAACTCATCATGATAAACCATGACATCTCATTTCTTCTCAGCCCGGAAACAATAAGATGCATAGGTGAAACAGAAAGATGCTATGAGTATCAAAATGATAACGACCGCGAGGCAAATGGACTCAGAAAATGTAGCGTGTAGGTGTTTCCTAATTGTGTTTTGACCATTTGATTTTTGGTTGAATGTTAATGGATGCTTTTAATGTAAAAATCTTCTCCGGATTTTGTATTATTTTGAAGTAAGCAAGGTGATAATAGAATCATGAAAAATATTATTTTGTTCTGTAATGAACTCTTTGCACACATGTTTTCCCATTCTCTGCTCCCCATTTTGTTTCTTCGACGTACCGTCAACGTGAGACCAATTTTCGTCGAAAGTAATACATAAGTACGAAATTGCCATATTCATTGCTCTTATGCCAGTGTAGTAAAAGTGAGGGACTTTAAATATTGGACTTGTTTATTTGAAAACCAAATACTAGCCGCCAGTACATTATTAAATTGGATTTTTTCTCGAATTTTGAGCCAAATTATAATATGTCGATCATTTCAGTACGTGTAAATCGAGAAAACAAAAATCAAAAGACGGAAGGTCATCCAGTTTGACGTTACGTCAAAATAACTAGATAGGATACGCTTAGCAGTGCCATTGAGCTTATCAATGTAAGAGGTGACTTATATTCGCCATGTATATTTAAAAGTGTTTTACGTAGGTTATGCAAATAAGAATACAACCTATAACATGTTATCCTTTGAGGGAGCTAGCTAGGGTTACCACACGTTTGGAACGGAGTGTAAAACCTTCAATTAATATGGTCGCCTTCAACGCTACACAATGTTTGTAAATAATTATCAAAATTAATTTTGATTTAATAAATGATAAATGCAAATATGTTTGTTATTTTGTATTTCTTCATGTGTAATCGTTCGAAAACTTTACCAGGGGCGGATCCAGGATTTTGGGTTAGGGGGAGGGGGCGTGTGATGATAACTGTGAGCGAGTTAAAAAAAAGATTCAAATTTTGTAAAAAGCAATGAGGCAAAACACGAATTTTCCGACTTTTTAGGGGGGGGGGGCGTGCGCCCCCCACGCCCCCGTCTAGATCCGCTGTTGTATACAAGCTAACACCCCAGTCACATTTGTCGTACGGAGGGCGTGCGTCTACCGCAGATCAATTAAATCAGTGTATTTCTGCGGCGAGCGTAGGAAAACTACGCTCGCCTTGCGGCCTCCGTACGGCGTATCCAGTTTTTTACAGGCCGCAGGGTCGCCGTAGAAATTATAATATTTGTTCATTTCTGAGGTCCCCGTAGAAATCAACTGGCTCAACAAGATTGGATCATTATTTGTCAATGTTTCATGATCACTTTTCATTTGATATTACATCCTAGCACTATGAATAACATTTATAAATTGTCCTGATGAAAATAAAATGAAAAAGTATAATTTATCAACAGATATTTAAAATTCACCGTGCGGCTGCCGTGGGAAATGTGACTGCAAAAGTATGAGAGCGCAGAAATTCTACGGCGAGCGTAGAAAAGCTATACTGGCCGCAGAAATGATAGACCGCACGGCGGCCGTGGGAAATGTGACTGGGGTATTAGTAAGGGTGTGCTGTTCAAGCCTGATTGGTAAAAGATTCATCCCTTAGTCTATCCATAGAGGCTTATATGTATGCAAGACGTACATGTATGCAAGACGTCCTTGATGTATGCTATTTATCATCCTCTGAACGCAGGGTTTCAGACGTCATGCTGGGCCCAGAAATTTATTTGGGCCCATAAACGTTTCGGGCAAATTGGCCAAATTAAATTTACAATCTTGGGCGTAATTATTGGATTTTGGGGTCCACATTTTTTCTGATTTCGAATACCCCCCCCCCCTTGATAGCCTCTGGATCCACCAGTGCCCCCTCTGAATCTGCCCAGATTATTTTGATGACTGTGAACTACAAATAATACCAATTTTGGCTTTAGCCATAAACCATTGAAACACCGGAGGAATTCGACATGTACATATATGAAGTTGAGACCTTGAAACAATTGCCTTCTATAGGTCTGAGGGGAATTAAACGTGGAAACCTTGGATCTTGAGAGGAAATTACCATGGAGAAATGTTAAAAAGGGGGTCTTTGGCGCGGCACATAGCAAGGCCGCGTCCTAGGTTCGATTCCCACACGGGGCATTGAATTTATCAGACTTTCTTTCAATTTCTGGCTTATGTATCCTTTGCACCCGTGAGTGTATGGTAAGTCACTGCTGGGGAAAGCAAGGCGGATAGTGTAACGACCCTTGTAACGACATTGAATTTAGCACAATTTTTTTCAATTTCTTTATCTGGCTTGTTACACTAGGCTATTATTCGTTAGTTAGTCATTTCCCTGGGGCGCCATCTGAACATTACATAGGTATTAGAACGGTGAAAGCCCCGGGTCGAAGCCCTTGCTGCCACAGACAGCCCTAGAAGGCCCCGACTCTGCTGAGTATTTTGGATAGGAATGTAGCCCGGGTGGAGTGGCGGATCCAGGGGGGGCATGCATTTTTTGTTTTGGCCCAAACTTTGTAGGGTCTCAAAAAATGGGCCTTTTGGACATAATTTGGCCTACTTAGGGCTTTTTATGGCGAGTTTATCCAAAAATTGACCTTGAAATTTCTGGATCCGCTACTGCGTATAGGCATATCACCATCCAAAAAATTGTAGTTCGTCGTATAGGCTAGAATTTCGTGAATCTTAGTGATTAGTATCAAGATCTTTCGATAGATGTCGTAAGTAGTAAAAATTGCAAAATGGCGGACATTGACAAATGGATAGAAATAGCAAAACAATGCAAATATCTACCTGAAAATGATCTTAAGGTATGTTTTTATATTCAAAACATAAGGGGTTTATGTTTTACATTCATCATGAGTACAAAAATAGCATTGAATCTATCAGCTTTTGAAAAAAGTGACTTAAATTTTAACCGGAAGTACACTTTTCGATTTTCTTTTTTCAGTTGATTTTTGTTGAGTAAGGGCATGTAAAGATAAAACACTTATTCTAGTGAGAAGTTCATGTGGTTAAAATAACGAAATAATGAAATGTTACCATGTATCTACATAGCAGTTTGTTCTATGTCATCCCTCCTGCCAGGTTACATTGTGGAACGCAGCCAAACACGACACTGAAGGCAGTATTCTGACATTATCTGCCCTGTCTACCCTCACGCATTAGGCGTGATTGTCACGCATTTGCTGGATAAATAGAAATCACGCATCAATTTAGCGTGTATGATCAAATATCAAGCAAATCACGCATTTTGTTGATATTTTTAAAAATCGTTTTTAGTGAAATGCTGATACGGTAAAATACCGAACGGCGAGAAAAAGCGAACGCAATCCGTTCGGTCTCTGCACGCGATTGCCGTTTATGTCACGTATTTTGTACAAAATATGTGTATATATCACGCATTTGTTTCGAAAAAATTAACACCTCATGATCAGTCACGTGAGCTTGCAAAATTGATAATCTAAATTTCCCAAAATTCTGCTAAGATCAAGATCGCTACGTTGTTGCCTTCAGTGTCGAGATCACGATTTGGGCTTGCTCCAAATCATAACTGCATACTTACTGTGGATTTTTAAGAAGGAAGGCCACTTTAGATAATCACATAAAGTGAACACAAAAAATAACTGATACTGAATTTGGCATATTTTTTTTTAAAACATTTCATATCCCAAACTGCAGAAAAATATGCCCAGTAAATTAGATTTGCCAAAATGTATGTCTCCAAGGCTTTATACCAGCGTATACATGATATAGCTTGGGTCACAATAGCTCTTACTCAAACTTGATGTTCTCAATATAGCCTTACAATTTAAGTTTTTTCCTAGTCTCATGTGTCCTCTCCATCTTACTTATTTTATTGTTCTCATCTTTGCAAAATTGAGACAGGCTGAGAAAATGTGTATATAGATTTAGAAGCTTCTTCTAGAAAATAATATTTTACCCGAGAAAATATTAGAGTGCACAATACATTACATAGAGTGAAAGGAAGAGCTGTGAACTAGTATTCTCCACCACTTTTCATGATAATTTTGTAACTTTATCAAGTTAAAATAAATGGTGATGTAAGCTATTGTCAATCATTTTGATATAGCTATTTGTCTTGTGAGGTCTAAGAGAATCTTACTTTTCGATTACGGATATGACTGATCAGCAAGCTGTTTTGGCTAATCATATTTACATATTAAAAGCTGAAAAGCCCAACATTTATGAGGGCTGATTCGATATAGCTTAACTAGTTTGGCAGCTTTTTGCAGTTGCTTAATATACTGTTTTATTTTATTTCAGAAACTATGTGACTTTGTATGTGAGTTACTGCTTGAAGAATCCAATGTACAACCTGTCTCAACCCCAGTCACTGTATGTGGAGATATACATGGACAGGTAGCGTATTAGCATAACCATTTGACATTATCTTTCTAGTTTTAAAGCAAACATGTACATTGTACAGCATCCACTCTAGCTAGGCTTTAGAAAAATTCTTAGGTTATATTTTATACACGCTATTTGAAAGTATGGAATTCTAAAATATTGCCATATTTTGTCCAACTTTCCTTGGTAACATTGCATATAGTGCATATTCTCTGCTCATACAGCTTTGTTTCCAATTTGCAAAAAATAAAAATATGATAGGAGTGTCTCTGGAATGCAATCATGACAATGATGCAGAATTGCAAGGATTGTAGAATATTATCACACTAGTTAACGTAATTTTTAAAAAATGTTTATTTATTCAATATAATTTGATTACCCTTTCTACCCTTTCCAGTTTTTTAAACTTACAACATCTTACATGATGCATTCATGAGTATATTGTAATAACTTTTACATTTTTAATTTCCAGTTTTATGATTTAAAAGAACTCTTCAAAACTGGAGGTGAAGTTCCAGACACAAACTATGTCTTTATGGTGAGTTTTCATCCTTTGGCCAACCATACATCTCTTTTAGGCTTTGACTATGATTTAAAGGTAGTAACAGATCTAGCAAGCAAAAAATCTATTGTACTTGTTTCAATTTTAAAATATTTTTAGCTCAGACCAATCCTTGTCATATCTATTTTTTAAAAGTCTTCAAAGTGCATACTTAATTTGAGCAAAAACTTTGCCACATTTATTATTTGGGAGAATTTAAACATTTTCCCCATTTTTGCACTTTGAGTCTTAAATACTTCACCAATTGATAACATATTGCTGATAATTTTGAAGGTATTGTATTTGATATTGTGGAAAATATATTTTAGGTTAAATGCACATGTTGCTTGCAATTTTGTCACCTCCTCTAGATCTGATTCTTCCTTTAAGATATCTAACATTGGCAAAAATGACTTGGTATATGATTTAAAATTATGAAAACTTTGTAACATATATCGTGAACATCTTGTTTTCCAGGGAGATTTTGTTGATAGGGGATACTTCAGTCTGGAGACATTTACACTTCTACTAACACTGAAGGCAAAGTAAGCAATACAGTGAATAAATAATATCATTAGCACTATTTATTGTTTGTGCAGCAAAAAGTTTATGAAAATATAATCCCAAACCAACAGTACAATGGTATAAACAACAAGCTGCCATTCAACCAAAATCAGTCTGAACTATGAACTTTTGCTTGAATACCGGTATTCGGAACTTTTATATCATGTTCCAAAGGGTTTTGGAACAAACATCGGAACCTTACCTACTATTGGCTTTGAATTGTTAATATCTAAGTCCAATGTTTCCCCGGTAGTGTTTCCTTCAAACTGCTTCAAATATCAATGTAGTCGCATAAATATAATAAATAGCGACGAAATCAAGTTTTGTTTTGATTTGAGAGTATGACCTTCAATTTTCACTGGAA